ACACACACACACACATGCAATCTGTCTGTGCAGAGAGAGGTGTGCTCTGCTCAGACAGATTTATTGTAAATGTCATCAACATGATAATGACAGACATTGACTCGTACAGTACTAAAGGGCTGGACTCGACTCTCCCTGGTTTGCGGGCGCTTCTACCGCTCGCTTCAACCGCTCCCCGGTACTTTTTATTAATGGTTTGGCCCTGGTTCTAACCGGGCGAGTCGATACCAGAACAATTTCACGTCAGCGAACATCAATTATGATTCCGAAATGAATGCTTTCAATCTCTAACCAAGAAAAAAAATCAAGTTTCAACCCAGTGTTCAGCAGAAACACAACTGTCTTTAGTAAAAGATATAGATTTGACACATAACACCAACACCACTTTAGCTGATTTAGAACCACAGACACATGTTCAGTATAAGACCAGATACTTTTGCATTTGATTGAAGACAGACACTCACCAGGCAGAGTTGGCTAATCTCCTGGTGTAATGCTAGTTGTTGTTAGCTGGTGTTAGCCGATGTCCGTAAATGTAATCCATTTGGTCAAACCACCTCCAGACTTTTCGGGTCTGCCTCTACTTCTGCTGCTGCGATCTTTCATTTCACGGTTGTCACTTTTAAGCTTTTTAACTTTTCTCTGCATTGTCATGTTTGTGGGAATCATTCTGCTCCGTCCTTAGTGCTAGCTCCACAAACACCTTCTGGTTTCTGGTGGAACCATCGAGCTCACGCTGGTGTCCTCTCCTCAAACTGAGGAAGGTGTTGCCCTCATCCAGCGACCAAGGAATTCTTTTCCGTACGGACGTCATGGGTCGAGGCAACGTGTTGTTTGTTATGATATTTGCTACAGCTGAGGTAGCAGCTGCAGAGTTATTGACAGCGCATCTGACCAACCAGAATTGACGTTCGCCGACGTCAGATTGTTTTGGCGGCCTGGCTAGTGAAGGCGAGTGAAGTCGGCCTTTACTATTGGTCAGAACTACATATGGAATGAAAGGCAGCGCCACCACCGAGGCGTTTTTGACGCTTGTCGAGTGAAAGCCCGAGAGCCGCACGGAACCAGCCAAAGAGCCGCATGCGGCTCACGAGCCGCGGGTTGGCCACCCCTGGTGTAGTGGTTGTGGCCTCATGTGCCTGCTGCTCAGATGTGGCTGCTCCTGTTCTGGCCCCGTGTGGAAGATGATGCTCTTCACAAAAACACGGTGGCAGTGAGGAGCACAGTGATGGTGGCACAGGTGAACTGCGTTGTAAGGCAAGGCAAGGCAAGTTTATTTGTATAGCACAATTCATACACAAGGCAACTCAAAGTGCTGAACAAGATAGCATTAAAATCATAAATAATCACAGAACATTAAAAAGATAAAAATATAAAATCCCTCAGTTGTATGCACAGCTAAACAGCACAGTTTTTAACTTGGTTTTAAACATAGTCATTGAGGAGGCCTGTCTCACATCTTCAGGAAGAATGTTCCAGATTTTAGCAGCATGAATCTGAAAAGCAGCCTCCCCATGTTTAGTTCTGACTCTGGGCACTAACAGGAGTCCAGTCCCTGTGCTCCTCAGAGTCCGGGCTGGTTCATATGGGACTAACATGTCACTAATATATTTTGGTGCGAGGCCATGGAGAGACTTGTACACAAGCAAAGCTGTTTTAAAGTCTATTCTCTGAGCCACAGGAAGCCAGTGCAGAGACCTGAGGACCGGACTAATATGGTCGTACTTCCTGGTTCTAGTCAGGACTCTAGCTGCTGCATTTTGAATGTACTGCAGCTGTTTTACAGCCTGTTTGGACAGACCTGTGAGCAGGCCATTGCAGTAGTCTAACCTACTGGAGACAAATGCATGGATAAGAATCTCCAAGTCTGCTTTAGACACTATGTTTTTGATCCTGGCAATGTTTTTTAGATGGTAAAAAGCTGCTGATGTTACTGATTTGATGTGGCTATTAAAATTTAAGTCTGAGTCCAGTATTACCCCTAGATTTCTGACCTTGTTTGAAGGTTTTAGGGAGAGAGACTGTAGATGACAGATGACGCTCTCTCTTTGTTTCTGGGGACCAAAGACAATCATTTCAGTTTTGTCTGCGTTTAGCTGAAGGAAGTTGTTTTGCATCCACTCACTGATCTGTTGGATACAGTGAAGGAGTGAGTCCACTGGTCCATGTTCTCCTGCAGTCAGTGAGACATAGATCTGAGTGTCGTCTGCATAGTTATGATAGGAAACTTCGTTTCTGCGTATTAACTGACCTAACGGCAGCATGTAGAGATTGAAAAGAAGAGGTCCCAGGATCGACCCCTGTGGTACTCCACAGGTCAGGGCCATATGATCTGAGACACAGTTTCCAATCTCCACAAAGTACTTCCTGTCTTCAAGGTAAGACCTAAACCAACTTAGGGCGGTGCCAGCGACGCCAACCCAGTCCTCTAGTCTCTGTAAGAGGATCTCATGGTCGACAGTGTCAAAGGCAGCACTCAGATCTAACAGGATTAGGATTGAGACTTTGCCTGCGTCAGTGTTTAGCCGGATATCATTTGTAACCTTGACGAGAGCAGTCTCAGTGCTGTGGTGGGGTCTAAAGCCGGACTGAAACATATCAAATGAGTTGTTGATTATAAGAAATCTATTTAGCTGTTGGTAGACAACTTTTTCAAGGACTTTCCCCATAAATGGCAGATTTGAGATGGGACGATAGTTGTTAAGTACCGTAGCATCCAGACTGCTCTTTTTAAGCAGGGGCCTGATGACTGCAGTTTTCAGGGCCTTTGGGAATATTCCAGTTGTACATAACCCTTATCCATACATTAACAAAGAAATCATTTATTGCTATCTAGAGTTTGTAGAAGAGATGATAAATACCCTGCACATTTGCTTTTCAGAGAAGAAATGCTCTTTCTTAACAACCTGTCCAAGTGGAAAGGTGAATTATTCATGTTGAGTAACCTGCTAGAGCCCTGGCTGTTGCCCATTGGTAATTGGGACAACACAATCTCTTCTGTTATCTTACCAAAGGGAAACTGGAGTTGGACGCTGTTTACTGCGAACCTCTTACCTCACACCACCTCATTTATTATCATGTCCTGTGCTCATGGCCCCTTTGTTCCTCAGCGTATGGGCATGTAGTTATTCCAGATTTAAACCCAAGCCTTCCCTGATGCAAAAACATGACTGTGCACAACAAGTCTCTGTTTCAATTCAAATAGGATTCACTCTCACTCTAATACAACTAAAATGTAATGAATAGTATTCTGGGTAATAATCTGGCTATCTGTCCCTGGCTCAGCTCTTTATTTTTTTGTGTGCAATCCTTAAGCTTGTGAAAACTGATTGTCTTTACCAATCTTTTAATTGCTTGATTTTGTAATGTGCTACTGCTTTAGCAACATATTCGTAAAGTCTTTTGAGAAACCTTTTGTTGTGATCAAAATGTTTATTCATTTGTACAACATTCATTTTGATTTTGTTTTGTTTGTATTTTTAAAATCCATTATTGCTATCCATAGGCATGAGTACTGTTGCCAGAGTAATTCACCATTTAAAACAAATGGATGTTGGGTTAGGGTTAGGGTCTGAAACCCTTAAGTGCTTGTAGTGTACTATAACTACAGTGTAATTGTACGAGACATGAACTATTTTAACACAATCTTAATGTAAATATAGATAGAGGTTAGAATAGATCCCTTGTGTAATTTAGTCCAAGGGTAAAAGCATGACACTTTAATATCCTTTCTTCTTTATCAAAGCCCCCTCCAGTGAAATGGTTGGTGAGGTCACTAATGGGAAGCAGCACTCACAACTAAGAAGTCCAAATGGATACGGACACCTCCATTAGTAATGGGAGGGGGCGGTGATACTTAAAGTTTTGCAGTAGACATTTAGACCTTTTCCACAAGCAGACATCGGCAAAGTCCGACTTGTGGGCAACATGCGGCCCAGTTCACGTTTTTTATGACCCACTGACACTTTCCATCTTTTGAAATAATTGATTTCCTAGGAAAATGACCAATAATGGGTTTCTTGTGTAAAAAATAAAACTATTATTGATCAAGTTAAGGTCAAGTTATTCGTCTACAATGCCTAGCCTTCTTTAACTTACATTTTGTCCTGTAAAAAACACAAACATTACATACACTCCTGTATTGAATTTAATTATAATTTCCCCTTTAGGGTGGAGTCAAACTTTAAGAGCCCGAAGTGCTGCACACACCAAGGAATAAAACACAATCATAGAGAAATGAAACGGACTGTGTAAAAAGCCAATAAGGTGAAAGGTGCATAAATAAAATTTGCTCAGAATGCCTTGCTATTGTAAAAGGTTAAAAAAACTATTTTCTTTAGCCTCTGCTTCTCTCTCAAGTTGAGTGAAATCGATACAAAATGTGATGTGATTGGCTGAAAAAGTCACAGAGGAACAACAGCAGTGCAGCTGCAGGGGAGACATTGTTACCTGCTATTTTATGTGTTTTTTTTTATGTTAGACAAAAGTGCAGACCCTATGATTATGTGCCCTGAGAAGAAAAGTGCCACTTTTGCTTCAATGGATAAATTAACAGAAATTGTACTTGTTTGCAAACTTTCAAGCTTGGTTGATTGCTGTGCTTTGTGGGTTTCGAAAAGCTCATTGGATAAGGATACAGTAAAAATCACCGTCATGCTTCACACAAGGGGTGTGAGAGTGAATATTAAATGGTACTTGTTCTTTTAGCCATTTCCTATAATTGTTTTTCACGTCTCTAATTGTAAAAGTGCTGATGGGTTTCAGACATGGGAGGAAAAATATGGACTGTTCAATGGTGTGACTAGAGACGAGTGTATGGCCTTATACGGTAATCTACTCTCGTCCTGTCCCTGGGTAAGTTGGTGATTTGAGTAGAATATGTGATGATATGATGTACTGGAAAATATCTATATCTGTGTCACAACAGTAGACAGATCTGATTAGACGTAAACCAGATGCCTTTCCGCTCAAACGCTCATTTTTACCCTCTTGTTTTTCAGAGTGGACCTATCCCTCAGCCAGACCTCTTCCTGTTGGTTTAAGATGAGTATTACGAGTGACGAAGTTAACTTCTTGGTCTACAGATACCTTCAAGAATCAGGTCAGTACTTGTTTTGTTTTCTTGATTTTTTTTTCCATCTGCTGTTGACTCATTTCACTGCATCTCTACAACATCCTCATTCATAGCTTGATGTGGTTTTTTTTTCTTCTGCTGCAGCTAGCTCTTACGCAGTGAATGTGCTTGTATTCAGGTTTCTCCCATTCAGCCTTCACCTTTGGCATTGAAAGCCACATCAGCCAATCCAACATCAACGGAACACTAGTGCCCCCTGCTGCTCTCATCTCCATCCTACAGAAAGGACTCCAGTATGTGGAGGCAGAGATTAGCATCAATGAGGTAAACTATTGCACCCGGACGTATTTTTCCTTGTTGTTCGGGTGTGTGAGTGACAGTTTGTGCATTACAGGACGGGACGGTGTTTGACGGTCGGCCCATTGAGTCTCTGTCCCTTATCGATGCGGTGATGCCAGATGTAGTGCAGACAAGGCAACAGGCTTTCCGTGACAAGTTAGCCCAACAGCAGAACAGTAACTCCATATCTGCCTCAACATCCGGGAACCAAGCCAACACACCAAAGAACGGAGAAACCACCGTCAATGGGGAGAACGGCGTATATACGAGTAAGAGCCTGTTTGTATAGAGTTTTTCCCATTTTTTTCTTTTTTTGCTGCTTTTAAACCTTTAAGCTGTGGTACCTTCCTTTTTTCCAATGGTCCATGTTGTTTGCCTATACAGAAAAAACACAAGTAAAATCAGACCATAAAATGATTTTTATCTTCATAAGAAGATAATGTATCTTTTGCTTTGTATGAAAAAGCCCCTTTTGAAGCTTTGGGCTGAAATAGCGTGCATGTGAAAACTAGAAATAATAGAGCAAGGAACTAGCTAGATTGATTATTTATTTTATTTTATTTTTTTACTTTGTTTAATGTGTGGTTTTAAAATTAGGTACCCCAGCTTTAAAGGTACACAACAATTTTTCAACTGGATGGTCCTAAATGTTTTGTAAGAGGGCCACATTAGTTCACCAGGCCTACAACATGTAATCCGGATGTGGGCAAAATGTAATAAGTGGGCCTGGGGGTTTAGTTTGGACATGCCTAGTTTAGACTTGTAGACACTGGAAATTCATAAAACAAGCCATTTCTCCATAGAACATGTGTAAAATGAGACGACATGGGGGTATAGCTACTTGGTTCAATGGCAAAGCCAAAATATGCCGAAAGACAAGTTTTATAGTTCAATTCAAGCAAACAGTAACTTGTCGTATTTTAAAGATTTGAACAGGAAAATCAGTTTACACATACACATTATTCTTATAATTGACAACAAGACAAATGATCAGTAAAAAGTGGTTCATGTTGAAATTGCAAGTACATTGTTTAGTGTGTTTATCTTTTCCCAGACAACCATAATGAGCCTATGGAGCTGGACATAGACGTGGAGATCCCTGCCAGTAAGGCCACAGTGCTGCGGGGCCATGAGTCTGAGGTGTTCATCTGCGCCTGGAACCCTGTCAGTGACCTGCTGGCCTCGGGGTGAGTCCCACAGCTGGAGGAGACTCTGGTCCATAATTATGTTTGTGTTGTCGCTGGTTTTAACGCTGCCTGTTTTCAGCTCGGGAGACTCCACTGCTCGCATATGGAACCTGAATGAGAATAACGGCTCCAGCTCCACACAGCTGGTGCTCCGACACTGCATCAGGGAAGGAGGCCAGGATGTCCCCAGTAACAAAGACGTCACCTCACTAGACTGGAATGTACGTCCACCCTGTCCTATCTGCCATGATTCCAGTTTGCACTGGACAGATCACTAAATATGATGCTGTGTGTTCAATAGAGCGACGGGACACTTCTGGCAACGGGTTCATACGATGGATTTGCCCGGATATGGACCAAAGATGGTACGATTTGTCAATTGTTCTCTTATAACACTCTGTTTATACACTTTGTTATTTTTATAACATATGATCCGAATATGACTATATTCCACTAGGAAATCTGGCTAGTACCTTGGGCCAACACAAAGGGCCGATATTTGCACTGAAGTGGAACAAAAAGGGGAATTCTATTCTTAGCGCTGGTGTAGATAAGGTAATGCATAATCCAAGGCCTCACATAACCATTGTTCTAGATTTAAAAAGTAGAGTAAAAGAAATGGTACTTGTGATGAATAAATTCAGTACTTATTTTCTTCAGACGACAATCATTTGGGATGCACACACAGGAGAGGCCAAGCAGCAGTTTCCGTTTCACTCAGGTAAAAGTTCATGTAATAACTAAACATATGGAGTTCTCCTACTGGGCTCTTGATAGTAACTGTATATGATTCAATGACCGTAGCTCCAGCTCTGGATGTGGACTGGCAAAACAACACTACGTTTGCCTCCTGCAGCACCGACATGTGCATCCATGTATGTCGCCTTGGTAATGACCGGCCCCTGAAGACCTTCCAGGGCCACACGGTGAGTGCAGTTAGTGCTCAGACCTCAGTATTCTGTAAACGCTGTGACAGAACTAATGTAGTTTTTCTGCTCTGTAGAATGAAGTTAATGCCATTAAGTGGGATCCATCCGGCATGCTGCTCGCATCCTGCTCAGATGACATGACCTTAAAGGTAGGAGCCCCTCTGAATACTAATCAAGTCATTGCATTTATTAGCCTTGCATTTCACTTGGGTTCTTTTCATACACAGATCTGGAGCATGAAGCAGGAAACATGTGTGCATGACCTTCAGGCTCATAGTAAAGAAATCTACACCATCAAGTGGAGTCCAACTGGCCCTGGGACCAACAATCCCAATTCTAATATCATGCTTGCTAGGTATTTACCCCCATAATCTTACTGTACCCTTTCTTAGATTGTTCCAACTAATAAATCGTTTGATAAGGAAAAAAAGTACAATGAAATTAACACTATGGGTTTGTTCAACATCTTGTGCCATAGATATTTAGCAAGTGTAAATGTTGCATGGTTCACTGCCACAAGAATGCACAGCCCATAATTCCTTCCCACTGATTTACGGCAGTATAAGCCAGTGAAAACGATTACATTTGCTCCTTACGACTATGAAGACTCCACTTACTTGGTTATATTGCATCACAAGAGTGCTCGTATTGTGCCTCAGTGCCTCTTTCGACTCGACGGTGCGACTGTGGGATGTGGAGCGGGGGGTCTGTATTCACACGCTCACAAAGCATCAGGAGCCGGTCTACAGCGTGGCCTTCAGTCCAGACGGAAAGCACCTCGCCAGTGGCTCCTTCGACAAGTGTGTGCACATTTGGAACACTACAGTAAGTTCACACACTGTACATGCTGCTCTTCCTCAGAGTTTGAACTCTTAAGAACCTAACCTTGTTTGCAGACTGGAGCCTTAGTGCACAGCTACAGAGGGACTGGGGGAATCTTTGAGGTCTGCTGGAACAGCACAGGGGACAAAGTTGGGGCCAGCGCGTCAGACGGATCAGTAAGTTATTATGAGGTTAATCCAACTTGATAAAGTGCCTTGCAAATGTAGCTTGTGAAGCTTTGTTGTTACCATTTATGGAAAAGAACGCAAAGTGATGGACAATTGTAAAGTAAAAAGAAATTAGTACATGAAAGGAAATACAGTGAAAAACCCCTAGGCATGTCACCGAACAACTGTCAGAAACCGTTTAATACTAAATGTAGTAATACCATATGCAGGGCTGGACTGGCCATCGGGCATACCGGGCAATACCCGAAGGGCCGATGCCCATATTTGGGCCGGTCTGTCTGCTTCACACAAAAAACATGTTTGTGAAAAATGTTTGAGGGGGGGCGCGCATGTCCGCGGCCAACTGCTGTATATACTCGAACGGGATTCCGCCACCTCAGCGGCCGCAGTGTTCCGAGACAGCTGCGGCCGCTTTGTAATGAGCGGTTCAAGCATCCAGCGGCTCTGAGCTGGACGCGGGAACCACGAGATCCGCTCACAACACAACACGGTGAGCGCGTAGCCTCAACGTGACCATATACCCAAGACCATAAACGCGCACAGGACCATGCATTTCTTTGTGTAATCTGTGCACCCAATAAATACACCGCTGCAGGAAAAAGTCCGCGTCTCCCCTCTCCTCTCGAAGAGCGACTAAATTAAAGCTCAGGTACCTAAATTTTCCATTGCATTAAAAGTTAATATTTGAGCCCATGTAGTAAAATGTTGTGAACAAATCAAACAGATTTAGTGACAGACAATGGCTGACATTATGAATTTCAGACTTTTTTGACCAATTCTCATCCCTGTAATAAACAATAGTGTTGTCTGTGTCCACCTCCTTCACTCTGAGACATGTTTATTACTCTCTTGTAATGTAGACTATTGCACTGTATTTCAATTGTTGAAACTGCACATATCCTGATCCTCTAGTATTTTCTTCCATGCTGTATAAACCAGGGGTCGGCAACCTGCGGCTGGAGTCTTTTAAAAAATGTCTGAAATGGAGTGGGAGGGCTATATTTAATTTCTAGTTTGAATGTGGTTTCTGTAGGATGAAAAACATTCTTAACGTTTTTAAATGCTGCAAAAATGTGCGTAAGTAATATTCAATTTTGACATTTCTGTCAACGTAGTGCGTCATATCCTGTGAAGCGGCCCGCGTTAGGCGGCTGCTGCTGTAAACAAACCGGCATGTGCCATGGATCCCAAAGCTAAAAAGAGAAAGAGTCGATAATGAGTCTGTACTAAGAATAAGTATGAACATTTGCTTTCAGTCAATGAGGAAGGACTGCTTCATGTTTGTATTGAGAAGTTGTGTTACAACACGAGGAACAATGATGCGCTAAACACCGTTCACGGTGATCACGTGAAGGATTCATTCATCGCAAATTCAGAGCACCTATTTTCAGACTTCAAATACCTTCGCAAAAACGGTGAAAGAAAAGGCCATTAAGGACATTCAGCTCCAGCAAACTTCAGCCTGTGATGTGAACTCTGAGCCAAAAAGCAGATTTATTTACTGTATTTCTACAATTGCATGAAGACAAAAAATGGAAGTTAAAGTTAAACCAGAGTCGTCACGTGGTGCGTCATTCTCTCCATGACATGCTGCAGTGAAAATACACATTTGATAATCATGAATGCTTATTATGCATTTGTAGCCTTTACTTTGTCATTTAGATATTAAGCTAATGTAGCTAATACAGCTGCAGCCTGTGTTATCTTCATATAAGCCTTATACAAGGCTGTTTTTTTTTTGCGGCTCCAGACAGATATTGTTTTTGGCTCTTTGAACCTTTTGAGTTGCAGACGCCTGGTATAAACAAACTGTAAAAAACGTAAAAAAAAACATGCCTGGGCCGCCAAGAAGGCAAAAATGCCCGGGCCGTTTTTTTGTCCTAGTCCAGCCCTGACCATATGTATATTTATTTTAAATGATAGTAAAAAAAAAAATATTTTTGCTGCAAGAAAATGGTAACTATGTGACATTCGTCCTGCAGGTTTGTGTCCTCGATCTTCGGAAGTAGCCACTTGAGACTTGATATTCCCGGATGAATTCAGGAATGTGCATCCACATGCCTTCTTCACATCAGCAAGAGGAACACTACTCGAGTTGGGCTGTATGAAAAGAGTGGACCAGAACAGTGACTGCAGCAGCTTCGTGGAGCCAAAAACTGAAATCTGTGCACCTTACAGTTCATGATGTTGATTTTATGGAGCACCTAGAGGCATAAGAGAAGGCCTCAGGACCCTGTCGGCTGCCTTGTTTATGGACTTGTCCCTCATGGTGAAAACCCATATGAAATGTTGTGGTATCTATGCTGACCTGTTCCTGTTGTTAACTGGAGCAAGTAAAAACACAAAAAGAATTTTATATAATAAAATGAGGTCAAATGTTTTGCAGCAGAGATTGAATGAAATGTTATACATCAGAGTTTAGCTGGTCCCCTGATGAAAGTAGCAAATGATGATGTCTGCTGATACACGGTGCTAAGCTGCTCCTGCGCGGAGAACAGGGGTCTTTGTGATGTCTTTTTCCACCGAGGTATTTTAAAGTCAGAACTGAATGTGACGTCATGAAAATATGGCAGCGAATACAAAACTGCCACGGAATTGTGATCACATCCTGTGTAATTTACGTGTCTTTTAGGAAAGATGTGAAATGTGTTATCGACAAAGAGAATCTTCTCCTTTTGGATGTAAATATAAAAGAATGTAAAGTGTAAATGCGATAAATACACAGATTTCTATACTGTGTGAATATGTTAATATACAATATGCTTTAGTTCTACACAGAGGGATTCATGGGTGGCAAATGCCATCTCTTCTAATCACCAGTTTCAAGTTTTGTTTTTCTTCTGTTTGCCACAAAAAGAAAGTCTTCTCTTGGAGGAATGTGCCACTGGCTAAATGCAGCACAGGAGTAAAACGTATGTACAGAAAGATCTATTGATGCATTTCAGATTTTAGCCATAATGACCATCACTGCTTATGCTGCAGCTTATTCAATCTGTCTGTGTATGAACGGCCTCTTCTCCCACTGTACTGTCTTTTCTGACACATTGTTCATTTGCCTTTTGTAATTTTAGTTCTGCGAAGAGAAATGTGAAGTGCACTTTTATAATAGTGGGACAGCAAATGCTTTGCTTTGCTGTGCATGAAGGGCCAACGTTTTGCTCTTTATTTTGTCACATTGTGTTGAGGTGGGTCTTTTTTGTGACATTTTGATTTTCTGAGAGCCATTATCGTCTGTGTCAGACTGAGAATTGGGCTTTTAGGCGAAGGCCATCAAGGTGTGGTGAGGAGCCCCGAAAGGAGAATGTGCTGTGACTGCGAGTATCTCCCCTTACCCTGATCCAGGGTCTGAACATCAGTTTCCAAGACAAAATGTTGAAGTCATTCATTGTCTCAAATAAATCACTCTATTTTGATATTGGAAATCTTTATCTTTTTTATTGTTTATCCATGAACGTTACATAAGGGACAAAAAAAATAAACATGTATTGTGAAATATAATTCACACAAGTGTCCTTTCACCATAACAGTTTAACCTCGGTAATCAGCTGTTAAAATGAACAAATGTTCGGAAATGAAAGTGTCTGAATGTTGGGCTAATGGGTGAAAACTTACACTCTGCATAACGTCGTCTGATTAAGATATACAGTACATTCTATTATATACAAACACATTTCTTTAGTTCTCTAACGTGTGGAATTACAGACAGCAGTGATGTGGGAGCTAAAGTCTTACAGAGGTACCCAAGGATTCTCCATCAGCCTCTATGTCTTCATAGTCTCGGAGCTCACTGGAAATGTGGATTTCAACTGTACTAGAGTCTGAACCTAGCCAAAACAGAGACAAAAGATAGGGGCACATTACTAGTTGAGTGGCTTATTATGCAGCCTGCCATATCACTGACAAATGGCATGGATTGAAGAAATGTATTTTGGGACTTTATGTAACCTGCAGCTGTGCTTTGCTATTCCCATTTATATCATATTTATCATTAAGAAATTCACGGAGGAAACGTTTTTTTTTTTTTTGTGCAAAGATAACTTTATTTTTTAAAATCACAGAAAAGTTCACAAAAAAACCTCACTATGGAAAAAGGAAAAAAGTTTCTTTACAAACTCATCCCAAAATACATTTATGTAAGTAGCTATGTGATATTAGAGATGACATGTTAGTCTGTACTTGTCCATCTCATGTTTTAATCTTACTCATGCAGGATTGGTTGTAAATTGGACAGTTTCTGGTGGTCCTGATAAATAGAGATTTATAGCTATATCTAGTATTTTTATAGATCTATATTATAGATTGGCATGCAGGGGCTTTCAGTTTAGCTTTCATTCATGTTTGAAAACTGATTTGATGCAAAATTGAGAGGATTTTTATTTTATTTATTATTTTACAATGATTGAACTTGAAGCATTAAAAAGACATTGCTACATACATAGGGTATAGTCCTCAGTGGAGTTTTTTCATTCTTTACTGTAGAGAACAACACGTCTTATATAAAACAAAGTCTGTTTATGAAGCATCTGCTGTGAGTGTTTCACCAGCCCTGGTACACAGGCGAGCTGCTGTCAACACTCTGAGTCCAGTTACCTTGTGAGAGCACACTGATGGCATCGGACTGCTGCTGCCCGTTACTGACCAGGTTCCTCTTCATGTCCTGCACGTGGCTCTGGTACAGCAGCGTGCTCCCACTCAGATGGTTGTGACCGGCCGTGTGTGGCACTGATGTAGACGCCGAGTCCCAGGTGAGCTCTCTCCTCCGCTGCAGGCTCAGGTCGACGTGACACCCGGTCCAGCCATGGAAGGCCAGAGTGTTGAGGAAGGCATGCATAGGATTTAAGATGCCCTGGAATGCAGACATAAGAAGAGCAAAAGGTAAGTGAGGGTTGAACAACGAGGATCTGTGTGGTTGTAAGGTTAAACTCATGATGCAGAGTCTAGAAACCTGCTCTGAGTTCAATTTAATTCAATGTATTTTTGTGCAGCTCTAAATGACAACAGTGGTTATCACGGAGGACTTTACAAAGCCGTCGATTTGTATGTCTCAAAACAGAACAAAGAATTTCCAAGCTTATTGTGTGGCTGCCATTAATTTTCCTTGATCGTCCTCAGTAGCTGCGAACCCCAAGTTAGTTACCATACTTTTGGATGTTTGAGCACACCTGTCTATTAGCAGCATTAGTTACATTTTAAAATAAAGTTTATTTAGACTTTTTTTATAACATGTTAGAAAATATACATTCTCTATAGGCTCTCAAATGCCACTTTTGAGGAACTACTTTATAAGCCAAGGGCGAGCAAAAGCTTCTTTGCAACTGTTGCCATGATCAAGTGCAGCCAACGAGGAGAAGAAGCAACAATTTCCAATATTTTACAAAACAATATATATGATCAACTTAGAAAGGACTTTTAGACGTACAAATATCATGGCAGGTTTCCAAATCTAAATAAGTGAGTAATCACACTGGAGACTTTTTGCTAATGTATTCCAATGTGGTTTTTTTTACTGCAAATGGCAAATAAACTGAATCTGAATCTAATCTTTATTTATTTAGTGCATTTTCTTACATCGAGGTCAAACAGCCATACCATGAATGTTTGATAGCATTGCAATTCTATCAAATAATGATCTCAGAAATCATTATTTTCTTTCTCAACAATGTATTTTTTCACATAGATCTGTTTCGGCGCCTGCTCTCAAAACTGACACCGAATTCTAGAACGGCAATAGCCGATTTGGAACTGTAGAGGTTCTAGAATGTGACACTTTATCTCCTTTAGGGTCACTCACAATGATGAACCACGTGATGAGGGCTGCATTCCTGATGTTCCTGAAGGAGCTGTCGTTGATGTCCGCCTGCATCTCCAGATAGAAGAGCAGGCTTTCGTTGATGATGTTGGGCAGCCAGCTGAAACCACAGCACAGAGCGTCTCAAACTCTCTCAACTGGCACCGCCGTGAAATGCCTTTAGTTTGTAATCCGGAAACATCTCTTAGCCACGTGAAAAACAGCACCAGACTTTTTACGTCTTGTGTAATCTAGTTTAATGTTTTGCCTGCATTAAAACTTAGAATGACATCCTAGTATTGTCCCTCCCTATCTGTGCCTTATTGATTATACTATAGAAAAAGTAAATGTGAGATTCACAAAGGAATAAGTTCAAGCTGGTTTTGATTGTTGTAAATGATGTTAATAAAGTTGAGAGGAAATTAGAGAACTCTTGTGCAATACTGTTTTAAATGGTGCGTAAATGGATTGATGCTTTACTTCTGTTCTTGGTATATTTCACTTACTGTAATTTTAAAATTGTCAACAATGGAAACAAGCTTTGAGTAAAACTTGATTTCATTGTGTATCTTTCTGTATGTATGGGTATAAGTATATGGGTATACAGTACGTAAGTCAATAGAATGCTGAAGTCGTTTATATTAACTGTATTAACTTGATTTTACAACTCGGAATTTCATTTTATATGACATTACTAACATAATTTTTCATGGATTCTTAATCTTATCATGCCATATTAGAAAAAAACCACTGGAATAATGAACTTTATCACAGTACTGGAAAATAGCTCTTTTACTTTGATGAACTAATACCATTTAATGGTTTTATTCTCACTCCCAGTGGGTTTAATTATAATCTGCAATCCCTGAAATCTAGTTCATATACATAGTTCAAAGATCCTTTTTCAAAGTTACTTTACAAATATGCTGCCTCGATTAATCGGTTATGTATAAAACTACTGAATCCTATATGCAGTTGCACTTGCACCTTTCTTTGTGAGTGCTAACCCCCAACAAAACATAAAATTATTGTTGGAGAATGTTGGCTGCACACAGGGACGTGCGGTGAGGTTTGTGATTGGGGAGGCACTGACTTTAAAAGTCAGATTTACAATCATTATTCAAATAAAATAGCATTTAATCACCAATGCAATGACATCCACAAACTTTATATACTGTAAAGATAAGAGAACCAGCTTCTTTTAATAATCTCACAACAAATCTAGCTGCTGACTCTGCTCCGCATCAAACAACATCTTTAAGAAGCGCAGGTGCGAGAGACGCGAGGAGAGAGAGACGCGAGGAGAGAGGAGCAGAGAGAGACAGAGAGGAGCAGAGAGAGACAGAGAGGAGCAGAGAGAGACAGAGAGGAGCAGAGAGAGACAGAGAGGAGCAGAGAGAGACGCGAGGAGAGAGGAGCAGAGAGAGACAGAGAGGAGCAGAGAGACGGAGACGCGAGGAGCAGAGAGAGACGGAGAGGAGCAGAGAGAGACGGAGAGGAGCAGAGAGACGGAGACGCGAGGAGAGAGAGACGCGAGGAGAGAGGAGCAGAGAGAGACAGAGAGGAGCAGAGAGACGGAGACGCGAGGAGCAGAGAGACGGAGACGCGAGGAGAGAGGAGCAGAGAGAGACAGAGAGGAGCAGAGAGACGGAGACGCGAGGAGCAGAGAGACGGAGAGGAGCAGAGAGACGCGAGGAGAGAGAGACGCGAGGAGAGAGAGACGCGAGGAACATAAACAATAATTTAAACAAGTTGCAGAACTCTTGAGCAGTGTTTGAATCAGTGTTTTTCGGAAAAGCACTACTTTGCCGGTATCTGTCAATGTTCAACATAAAACACAGATTAACAAACTCCTCCCCCGCAGCCGGACTAACCTCGTAAGTCCAGTGGTGGTCTCCCAGTCTATATTAATTCTTTCTTTGTTTGAAAGTCCAATTGAGAAAAAAAATCTTCATTCAAATCATCCATTTTCCAGCAAAAGAAATAGCATTTTGGGCTGATTGTTTGTTAGCAACTCTGGTATGAACTTTATGCTCACTATCACCCCTAGCGGTGAGGCACAGATACCGCCTGCCTCACGCCAAGCTTTTTCCTTGTGTGTTCATCTACGATCAAAAGACTTAAACTAAATATAAATTGTACACACATACGTGCAATACACTACTAAACACTAAGAGGAGTTTAAAAAATGTTTTTAAAGCAAGATATTTGAAACAAACGGTGATATATCAACTGCACGAGCTGAGTGCACTCAGACACACACACACACACTGTGAGGGAGCGGTCTGGGGTGAGGCACGCAGGAGCGCTGCCTCACCTCGTCTCTTTGAATAGGAATAACGGGATTTCGGCGATTTTGACTTCAGAAATGATCAAAACTGATGGGAACCGTGCCGAATATACATTAAAAGCATAGGACAGTGGATATAAATTATATATTTAAACTAAAATAATTATTAGTTTCCAATAATGGCAGGTGAGGCTCTGCCTCCCCTGCCTCCCCTGACTGCACGTCCCTGGCTGCACATCAACAAAAAGAGGAGATCAGGAGGTTTTTCTCTAAGTGAAAACTATGTGAAACTTTCATATCAAGCCACAAAACAAAGAATTATTAACAGAATTATTGGTCTGAAAGGTCGACCCATCAACCATTCACACACACACACCAGATTCATTCAAGGCAATGTGGGTGAAGTGTCTTGCCTAAGGACACGACAACAGTTGTACAGCCGCAGTGTTCCTAGAGGTCTCCCATCACAGTACTAACCATGCATACCTTCACATGCAGGCTGCACCACAATAAATAGAAATATTAAATATGAATAATTTATGTTTTAAATTATATATTAAATATGGAGTTTACAATGTAATAGTTATTAGATAACACGATTAAGGTAATAATTAATAGATTTAATTAATTACTAAAGTAGTAGCAGTCCTAAATGGATGTTTTTCTTTACATTATTTCTACTCACCATATGAAGAAAACCAGCATTATTTTAAAGAAGCGCATTTTGATTTCATTGGCCAGCCGCCGCTCATTCTCAGTGTATATTCCTTGGCGACCTTTCAGTAACGATGTGACTAGAGGGAAACACAAAAAACCACTCATATATCACTGAATTACTTTTACACATCACAACAATCTAATCTGATTCAAAGACCGACCGGCCGATGTGGTCCGGCTGAAGAACACTGGGTTCACGATCAGGACCAGTAACATCGGGGCATAAGTGGTGACGTAGTGAGGGACCGCATGTTGCAACCCCTGCTCACAACTGTCACACAACAACATATTTTAAACCATGCATTAAACATACACATCGCTTTAAATCGTCATGGGTTTGAAGTTGTGTATTATTTGCTCTTACTCTGAGATGGAGGGATAGTAAAGCATGGCTACACCTTCGACACAAAGCAGAGCTGCCAGACCCCACGTGATCATGTGATAGAGGATAATAGTGCTGAAGGAGAAACAGACAAGTCATGAGTTCACAGCACATGAGGATCAACAAATACATTTATACAGCAACTACTCCCTAAAGGGCAAAGAAAGCTTTTTCAGCATATGGAAAATAACAATGTATCTGTTAAGATTGAAGATGATAGAAGAAGACGTCAGCTTTTGGTAGAGATAACCAGTTTTTTCCCCAACAGAAAAAGTTTTGTAAAAGGAAGATTTTTTTTTTATTTTGTTAGTTCATTTGACAAGGACATTGTGAATTAAAACATACTGTATTTCTGTAAAGGCACCAGAATTAGCCAAATGGGCACTGTCTCCCTATTTGGTGAAAATGTTTTGTTGCATGCTTGAAATAAAGAGCCTTAATTGTAATGTTTTTGGGCTGGGAGCTGAATGGCTGAATAAGAATGGGTTTTTTTTGTCTGAAAAATCTGATCTGATCTGTGACAGAGGGGAAAAAATACAAACTTGTGAAAATTAAATTCAAAAGATTGAATGGAATTAGTTACATGGATTCTATTACATATTTACGTTTTTGTGAAGTAAAAAGTTAGGCATCCCAGCCCGCACTGCTTTAGCATGTTTTCACACTTCCTGTCTTTTTGCACAACCTGGGCATATATATGTACATTTCTCCACTGTGAGATCAATAAAGTTTATCTTATTTTATCTTATCTTAATTGGAGTTGTTCCTCGCCAATGCAGGAGGGTCTAAGGACAGTGGTGATGATCCAGGACATTTATTGACCTCTATTTACATTTATGGCTCCTGATTCACCAATGGCTCCATGTGTTTTTTACTCATTGCAATTCCTGTGTCTGAGCTGTTTGATTCTCTGATCTGTGTGGGTGAAGCAACAACTTTGTGAACTCCTCTGAGATGACTACTGTTGTGATTTAAGGCTACACAAAAATACATGTGTTAAGTGTTAAGTAAAGCGATAATGAACAAAACTACACCTTATCCCAGCGGATGTTTTCACCACCAGAAACACGTCAACAGCATAACAAAAAGTCCACCAAAAAGAGGCGCTAAAGAACAACTGGATCCACATCTGTGCGGGAAGGGGGAGGGATATTAGTCATACTGTTAAAAATATACAAAAAAAGTGAGCATAAACATACATACCGCGCTGCCCACACAGAACACCTCTGGCCATACTTCAGTGTTGTTGGCCACAGAGATGTCTTCGATGATACTGGGGACGCTGAGCCAAACCGTAGATCTTAATATTATACCTGCAGGACAAAAAAACACAATCACACGGTCATAAAGATATCCACAAACAAATGAAAGAACCGATCCAACTGAACCAGCTCCAGGTCTGTGTGCATTAGGACAACAAAGGGAGAGCCATTAGTAGTCTAATTCGTTCATCATTATTATTAGGAGCCTATTTGTTATATTACTACTTGTATTTGTAATAGCCAAGAGGTAGATGTACTAATAGTAATAGCAGCAGCAGCAGCAGTATTTGTGGTATTAGTAGTGAGGCAGTAGAAAGTGTAGCATACAGTCAACTGTCCTAATAGTAGTAGAAGTAATAGTAGTAGTTGTAATAGAAGTAGTAGTAGTGGTGGTGCTATAGTAGAAGCAGTATAGTGACGAGACTGTACTAGTAAGAGCAACAATATTAGTTGTAGTAATAGTAGTAAGGCATCAGAAAGTAATAGGAAAACACACTAGTAGTAGTAGTAGTGGTAGTAGTAGTAGTAGTAGTAGTAGTAGTAGTAGTAGTCTAGTTGTACTGGTATTACTCCATAGATCTATTAGGCCTTATTTCATAATGAATGAAATGCCAGGGACGAAAGGGTTAACACATGTGGCTCCATAATGAAACCCAGACGTGCGAAAAGGAAGTTTTCCTCTGACTTTGAATCCTTTGAATCGACCGTGAATAGATCCCGTGTGACGTGATTACCTGCGCAGCCCAGTAAGTCACACACGCTGATGATGAAGAGGATCCTGGAGGAGGACGCGGGCCGCGGCAGTGGATTCTGCCCCAGTCTCCTGTATCCTTTGCGTTTGGGCAGAAGTTGGATGATCGCTAAAATGGCACTGAACGCGGCGCTTCCTAAAGTTAAAGCTACGAAGAGGTTAGGTTGGAAAGTCAGCACAAAGTCTGTGGCCGCGTCCCGGTTCGGACAGCAGAACGTCTCCAGTCTGGGGGACGCCATGACGCACGCTCCACGGCCTGGACGCGCCTGGACCCAAGCAGGCTACACTGTCACGAGAGGGGAGAAAGGGGAAAGGAGGGCAGGAAGAATAGAAGAAAGAAAGGAGAGGAATCTGGTTGAGTCCATGACCCTCTGACAAATCACGGGGCTGAATCATCATGTGCTTCTATTTAATCCTCTGGCTTAGCTGGCCCCAGACATGTAACACTGCTATGTAAGAAATGTGCTAATTATGATGCATTATCAATAATTATAGCATATAATTATATATAAATTATAATCTTTATAATCTTAAAGTTTCTCTCAGTGGATCTGATGATGTCGCGTATGTGATTTTTTAGGATCAAATGAAGTAGTTATAGTAAGTCAGCGACACGCTTCTTGGATAGATTTACCACTGGGTACAAGTTTCTTTGATGTACAAGCAGTTTGTCAAAGGCCACAGAATAATGAGGTGCAAATGCCGGAAATGAGATCTGAAAAGTGGTGGCGAAACATATTTATTTCTGAAAACAAAACATGGCTTTCCTTTTGTCTAAACAAAAAGGGCATTTGCTTACCTACAATGGCAACATCCTTGTGCACCTCTGAGAAGGCACAAAGTCATATGTGATGCAGGCCACTGGCCACATCAACTGATCCCAGAGGACCATTGAGCTCCTCGGACTCTGCTCCACTGCCATGGCTCTATCTACTGTGGTGTGCGGTCTACTGCTGCCATCTGCTGGTTAACAGAAGAACAATATATACATCAATATGTACATTGCACAAACGCTTGAAATACATAAAAATTACCTTTTTGGAATAAATGCTTCTTCAAATTTTCAGATTCTTATTCTATATGAGTAGTAGTACTCAGACATAATACTCAGCATTAATTATTTTAATTAAACATTGTTTTTTTTGCCTGCATTCTATTTTCAACTGATGCCTAATATGTATCTTTATTCTTCACAGAATGGTACTTTCCTCAGTACAGTAGGTACTGTCATAAATCTTCTTTAAAGTTGCAGTGTGAACTGTTTTGTACTACCAGTCTGATGGGCGTGGATCTTTTGTGTCAAATTACAGGTACGTCTTCTTCTTATCACGCTGTCATTGGCCTAAAGCAGGTCCTTCACCTAACCTGTTTCCTGCCTCTCATACATGTTTTAACAGGCTCTGACAACGTTGAATTTTGCTTTGAAGCCAGTTAAAAATCAGCAGACAGTGTTTTGCTTATGAAGCCAAACCAGTGAGCCGTGAAGGGGATTTGGGGACTCCACTGTCAACTATGTCTGAGCGAGACAAAGAGACACCTCCTGCTACAACCAGCGCTGGGGTCTTCTCCAATCCCCTCATGTGTGGTGAGTCGCTTCTTCTAACAAGAATGCAGAAGTTGTATTCCACTATGTTTATAACTGCTATTTATGACTACTAATACTACATGGCACAAGAAAAAAACAGGACCAGAAAGCCCTTTCTGAAGATAAGATTGGATTAGATTAGATTCAACTTCATTGTCATTACAAAGTCAGAACAATGCAACGAAATGCAGTTTAGCATCTAACCAGTAGTGCAATAGCTCAAGTTTAGGATAATATTTACAACACAGATAAATATATTTGCATATATGTGAGACTGTACAAGCTCCTATTGCTAGTATCATTAATTATATTACATGAGATTAAAGTGCATCTAATTTAACAGGGCTAAGTATGTAAATATAACATGTTTTATAATAAAATGAAGACAATTTCTGATTTATCTGAACATTTTACTTTAAAAAAAACCTCTTTACCCCAGCTTTAACAATAAATGCCAAACCTAATGTCATTGATAAATATGTTGTTTGGACTAGATAATGAATCAGACTGGTCCATAATGCACGATGCAGCTTTCAACGGACGCATTCTCAATATTCAAAGGCTCATTTCTCAGGTACATTTCCATTTTCAACCATAAAAAGTCCAGTTTTCTGAACATCCTTTTTGAATTCAATTAATACTAAGTCCTCTTAACCTGTATAGCCATTTTTTGTTTTACAGGGTCAGAGTGTGAATCTCAACACTGTAGACTTGGTTTCTCCTCTTCACGCTGCTTGTACACAAGGACATACAGCATGTGCTAAACTTCTGCTGGAAAATGGGGCAAATGTCGGTAAAACTCTATAAATTACTCAAACTAATAAATGAATTTTGTTTGTCCCAAAAGAATGCTTAAATAACAATTTGTGAAAATCAGAACCACAAAATTCTATATATGAATTATTATTTTAATTATATTTCACTATTCTGTACATGCTGAGAGCTAGCTGTAAGGGAGCTGCTATATTTATCAGAAATCTGAAGAAGTCACAGAGGCCGAATAATACTGACATGTGAAAACTAGTGACAGAACCAAACTGTTTTGAGAGCAAGGATCTGGATTTTATTACATAGTTATTTTTGTGGTTTCAAGGTACTGTACTTTAATGAATCATTATCAAATTCCATTTGCAGAACTGTTTGTATTCAGCCAAAAGCAAAACAACACCTGGACATAATTTAACCATTTGACAATTATTAACTATGCATAGCCTTAAAATAACACTCCTATTGTTTTTTCATTTATTGAACAGCCGTTATAAGTACGCTTTGCTTTGTGTGAGTAGATAAACAGTGCAACAGTGGGCGGGCACACGGCCCTGGCAGAGGCGAGTGCAGGAGGTCATGAGGCCTGTGTGTCACTGCTGCTGCAGCGCGGAGCCTCTGCCACAGGGAGCAGCCTGTCCAGCTCTCCAATGCACCGGGCCGCTGAAAAAGGTCAGGCTTGTCTCTACTTTTACCCTTTCTATCACATGTTTTATACTTCTTTGAGTCATTGTTAGGAGCAATGATGCATTTCTCAAATAGGATCGTCATTATTATCATTATGGACTAAAGTAGTACTGATCTTGAATGTGTAGCTTAAAATTACGTTTAGTACAGTGTTTTGAGTTAATTGATTATTGTTGATTTGTTTTGGGGCATGGTATTGTTAACATTATAAAAATTATGAGTTGTTAAAATAAATAATAAATATGCTATAGTGTAATGTATATCCTTTTGCATTAAACAATAATATACACATGAAGAGTTTGATATGCCAGATCCATTTTAGTGCCAAACACATCTAATGTCACTCCTTTCTTTAGTAAAAACATTTAAAATTTACTGCCAAGGACAAAACGTGTTGAAGATTGTAACGAGGGGAATACAACTTCTGAACTAAAATTCAAAAGGGATATATCTGTTTTTGCAAATGAACTTCATAACTTCAATAGTGATTTTATCTTTTTAACCCTGCAGGTAACTTGCAGTGCATAGAGCAGCTAGTCCAGTTTGGTGCTGATGTGGACCAGTACATCGACCAATCAGGTTCTCCTCTCAACGTGGCATGCCAGCATCAGCAACCCAGCGCTGTCAGAAAACTGCTACAACTTGGTAACAACATCATGCCTCATCTCACTGACCCAAAATAACCCACTTTTTAGTTCATAAGCAAGTTATCCTTAAAGATGGTGTAGATGTGCACTTTGTGGCCGTTGCTCTGAGCTGGAGTGTCACCTCCTGCAGGGGCCGATGTAAACAGTGCAGTGAGCGGAGAGACGGCCCTCCACACAGCAGCGCGCCTGTCCTGCCCACAGACAGTGTCCGCTCTGTTGGAGCACGGGGCAGATGGCAGCCTCACAGACCTCCAAGGCAAACGACCCCTGGACATCGCACCTCCCAACAGCCCAGTGGCACAACTGCTGAAACAAGTAGGAGGTATTTTTTTTTTGTCCGACTGTGTTTGAAAGAGCATGAGAATGGTTACACTGGGAAAGTATCTGAAATAAAAACCAGATCATGCACCTCGCCAACACCACGGATCATCTCAACATTTTAATGAGGTCCCACCCCATCTAGACACAGACACGGCTCAATCCGCCCAGCAGTAGTTTTTGAGCAATCCTATCTACAAACAAACACACGGACACAACTTTAGAACCCTGCAGCCCTCCGTTGGCAGGAGTGGAGGGGGGTGGTGATTGGACAGAGAACTCGTCTGTGCCATCTGGGCCGACTTCAAGAAGTCTGTAAAGTGCTTTGCAAGTGAAAGGCATTTTTATTATTCTTGGTAGTAATTTTTTTAAAAAAAGTTGAAAGAGATCTTACTGTGAGAAATTTACAGACCTGATTTGGAACTTGACCTAGTGGTGTCACATGCGTGGTTATGGAGATAATTAAAAAGACACTAGCAGGCAGCATATTGGTACATTGTAGCAGAAGTATTAGACAATTGCGTACCACCTACCATCATTAATAATAGCAATGTCCATAGTGTGTCTCTCTTTTCAAGTATAACAGTAGTGTATTTTGCATAGACAGTATTACTTACATTGATAAATATGAGTTAATACACACATTTACATCATGGAGAAACCCAAACCTATCTCCATGTCTTGTGTGTGCAGAGGAGTGTTCCCTTATGATGCTGTGCCGTGTGACCATCAGAAGAACTCTGGGCAAAAACAGACTGGCTGAGATCAAAGACTTGCATCTCCCAACAGAACTCACGCACTATCTGCTCCACCAATCACAGACAAGAACAAATACATCACGTTAATTTAACTACTGCCTGACTCCTGACATTCACCTTAAGATCAACAGGGGGCGCCCTTGTGCAGGCTTAAAATACAAGAGACTTTCAACATCACGGCCTTGTTAGTGGATGCAGAAATGATACAACACGGATAACCTTTGTCAAGCTACTTCTGCATGTACACAATACTATTACTGCTGGTAAAATGTGACAGCTCACACATGATTAATGTTATTGTATCTTATTAAGCCGTTTCTACGTTTTCTGTGATTTGATGCTCATGTGCCATCAACACCGATTCACTACAATCCCAAAACATTTATAAAAGTCTGTATACTTAACTATTTTCCATGAGTTGTGAGTGCTTTGTAGAAGGGTACTCCCAGGAAGCCTCAAAGCAATAGGCCTCGATGTAAAACAAAATGAGCATACAGTATATTTAGCTACCCTAAACCATTTCATACACATCTCACAGACCCTTACAATTGTATTTCCACTCTTAAGACCATCAAGTACTAGAACATGAACTGAAGAACATAATTTATTAGATGTATAAGTTATATTTATCCGATTGCTGATGTAGAAAGCAGGGAGAGATGTTGACAGGGGAATAAATATTGAATAATTTATATCCTGCGCTTCCATGCCCTAAAAATATATAGAAACTGTGAGCAAAATATGAATTCCTAAAGTCGACATAAAACAGCATGTTGTAGCCACATAGAAAGCCACTTTGGAGGGACACAACTCCTTAACTACTGATTCTCTTTATGCTTTCATCCACACCTCACCCCTGAATAGTATAATGCATGTACACTGAGGCACCAGTTGTAACAATGTCTGAAGACCAGCACCACTGCCCTAGACCTTTTCCCGGCAGCCCGCACTTGCACCCAATCAGTGTGGAAAATATCAGAGGAAAATATCTGTAACGCATTCAAGCCAATGGAGCTATTGCAGAGTGTTGAGTTGTATACAGATGTTGTTCAACCCACACTTTCCTTCAAATATGTAACGGCTCATTAATTTCCATTGATCCACTGAGATAAATCATGATCCCATTTCCCAACATTACACCAAAGTCTAAGTAAAAGAACTGCATCTTTTACTATGCTTTTTATACTATTCCATATATTTACATGAGAGTTTTGTCTGAATCAGCCACTTAACATGTAGATATATGTACTGTATATGAAGCATGAAGGCACGTGAACTATCCGGTGAGGCAAGTCATAGGAATTTTGAATTTCTTATTTTACTGGTAGCTAGTTTCTCGCTCCAGGCTTCTCTGGGTATTTCCTCAATTATTCCCACAGTGTTATGATGCAATAAATAAATAGCAATGACAGGAAACAAAACCATCTCTTGTGGTCTTCTGGGAATAGCCATAGATACAAACTGCAAAAATGCATATTAGTAATAACAATGTTCTGTGATGCTTTTGTTTTCTCTCGGGTGGATAGACAGTATGTCGGCTGCAGCTGAGGATTATCTTATTGTAAGTTTGTCATTGAAGTTCAATAACTCCTCATGGTATAACTCTTCTAATTAGCCCCTAATAGCAAAAACGGCCACATACTGTGATCAGTCACAAATGCAGACACCAAACTGATGTTGAGAGCATAAATAAATGTTACTCATATCTTAAGTAGTAGGATCTTGTTATAGATATAGTTTCTTCTTACAAAGTGCCCTTGTACTCTGCAGTAATTGGTTTGGTATTTTTAGTGAGCTGGAGTCTGGGTAATTAAAACAAATGAAGAAGATTGTGGACGAAGATCTCCTGAGAGTGCTTGGTTTTGATGTGAAGAGGTTTGGTAAGGTCGCACATGGCAATGATTTCAATTAGACACTACTGTACTAATGAGCTCTTTGCACCACTGTGATGTGAAAAATATAAACTCAAATGATTCATGAGGGTTCATCTTATAAAAAACATTTTATTATGTATTGTAGATAGCTTTATATAAAAGTGTTCACTACAATCACAAAAATAGCTAATCTTTGAAAGATGTAGCATTAAAAATAAATACATTTAGCTTCTTTGATTAGGGTTGAGAATAGCCTAATGAGTTTACAATATTATGTCATAAATTACATTGCCTGAAAAGACAGACTTCTTTGCAGCAACTCCGCCACAGCTGACTTGTCCCTATGGTCCTCCTCACTATGGCATCATTCTGTGGGGATAGCTGTATGGGCGGAGCACTGCTTCTCCCTGGACAGAGCCGCCTTCTTCAGGCAGCCTCACTCACATCCCTGCGACTGATCCAGCCGCTGATTTTACAGAGGTCAAGAGGGCTGCTGCTGCACAGTGCCCAGCAGGTACAGACAAAGCAGGTTTAGTACCAGCAGGATCATCACCAGCCCCACCAGCACCTTCTGCACCCACAGACAAGTGTTCAGCTTCAGCTCCATCCGCTGGTTTGCAGCCATCACTCTCATGAGCTGGAGATGGAGAAAAAACTATGTTGTAACTGCAGGTATCTTTAATAAAGCTGAATAAGTGCAACAAACTAACAGTGTTGGTAACTACTTACAAAAGTAACCTATTCCTTTTTGAAGTAAGCTTTGCTCTCACACTTTACAATTAATATTATGGAAAAAACAAGATCTTTTTTGTTAAATATGTGACAAAAAAGCGTTCTGAATCCTGGAATAGCAGAAGAAAACAATACACTACGATGTCACCCGAACACTATCAGCACAACAGGTTTGGTGTTGTAACTATGGGCGTGTGTTCAACTGGACTCTGTTCACGTTAGACACAGATCCAACATCCTCATCACAGATCTGTTTCACAATATGACTGAGGAGACGAGTACTTGATTTGTGTTCTCATATCTCCACAAATGAACCAGTATTATTATTATCATTATTAGTAGTCAAACTTGTATATTACATTTTCATCCCAGTAACTAGCATTATATTGTATATTAACATGTAGAGTAACAACACCAACACTACAACCCAATGCCTGCAGTGAAAGTTTCAAGAGTGTCATCTATTGTATAACATTCACATACCTTCTACCAACTACGCCTACTGATCACTATATGCCACATTACATAATCCATCTGTACTACAAACTTACTGTTGAATAAGTTAAAAAGTTATCTTCCAAAGTCTGTATATGCAAGGGTTAAGGAGAAATACAAATAAAGAAATATGAAGATTAAATTGCAGTATAACTTATGCATCCAAAAAATAATTGGGTTGCAGCATACCGTCGTGCCAAATTCTGGCTGTCCAATGCTTGCCATCTCTGATGGGAAGTCTCTGTGAGGACTTGAAAGTGTTTTAGAACTTTCTAATACATGACAGCGTAACCTGTGAGTCAGAAAACATCACAATGTCTTTATGCACATGCACAGCCATAGAATCATTCACAACATTCTAAGCACACTGTACCTGTGCTCCATAATCTTAGGTTTTTGTACTTCTTTCCAAAACTGTGCGAGTTCTTGAGAGCTATTGTCCATCTCAGCAGCCATAACAAGAAACCGGTCTTGAGGAGAGGCCTGGGAACCTGCACAGAAATCACATGTATTCAAGAAGGCATTGGCAACTACAATTAGGGATGTAAAAAAATATGAATTTTCATGACCGACCACCGAGCCTCATTAACCGGTTGAAACCGGTTAACCGCGTAGTTTAAAATAGTCCACGTTCTTTGAAATAACAGCCATTTCGAGCCGCGTACTTTTCATAAGTGCAGCTCTGCGTTCTACTGGATCAGAGTTGAGACAGCGGCGCCCAAACCTGCAACAGCTCCGGCACCTTTGCGCACAGAGAACTGCTTTTTTAATCTTCCCATTCTGCTGTGCTGCGGGTTAATACCAAAACTTTCTAGCAGCAAACGACGGCTCGTTCACATGGTCAGAGCAGCGAGTGACGAGCCGCGTCTCACAGGTCTTCACAAAAGTTTAAATACAAGTGATGTGTGTGGAGCTGATCCCGAGGACCATAAACACAAACATGTTCCATGTGGTTTGACTGGAGCCGCGTATTTGCGCGAATCCTTTGGGCTCCGTGACACAGAGGAGCGCGACAGACCGGTATGTGTGTGTGTGTGTGTATGTGTGTGTGTGTGTATGTGTGTGTGTATGTATATGTGTGTGTGTGTAAATGTAAGCTCCAATGTAGTTCTGACCCGCGCCAGTGTGCAACTTTGACGGTAACAGAGGGGAGAGATGATGCGTGTGGATGTTACGTATGGAGAGGGGGAAAGTGTGTGTGTGCGTGTGTGCGCGCGTGCGTGTGTGCATATGTGGCTCGTGCGGCGTGAGAGTCGTCCCGGAGTTTATAATAGATGGGCGCACACAGCTAGATACAGACCCGCTCGTCACACCGTGCAAATAGGGCTTAAAATAGCGTTATTAAGAGACCTCCCCTCTCCCCTTTTTCTCTTTTTTAACCGACAGCTTTGACCGGTTAACGCTGTGACGGTCAACCACCGGTTAAACGGTCGCCGATTTACATCCCTAACTACAATATATGAGTATATCAATAAGAATATTTTATTTTATTTTTAACAGTGGTTCAGGACATCGGTTGTGTTTTTACACAAATATATGGGCATTGGCCAGATATAGACAATGTAGCCAGTATTTTATGTTGCATAAGTCCACAGACTTGAAAGTCAAGTGTATTTGTAATTTTTAAAACAATATAAGTATAACTTATATTTGGAGGAATTGCTATGACTTTTACGGTCTTAATATTTTTGTTGCACAGGGAGACATAAATAGATATTGTATTTATATCACTTTTAATATTTCATATTTTTTTTACCATATTGAGTGATTCCTTCCATCCATCCATTTTCTACCCCTTAATCCATTTCTGGGTCGGGGGGGGGGGTTGCGAAATGCCACCCAAGTCACATAGCACCAGCCCCTCACTGATCCTCTGCAGGTGGGGAGGCTGGCCAGGGTGGACAGGAGGATGGCTGCTCTGTCAATGTGAGCATAGCCGTGATCTCTCAGTGGGGGCTTTGGGCAAAGTCGGGTTAAGTGTCTTGCCCAAGGACACAACAACAGCAGACATCAGTGGGAGTCGGTGGAGAAGGTGTCAAGGTGGGAATTGAACCACAACCTTCAGGCCTAAAGGCCAATGCTCTACCAACTGAGCTACTGTCGCCCCCATTGAGTGATTCCTAGCTCAGATAATCCTATCACTGATAAGCAGGTAAAGAGCCAACAACAGAAAACCTCCTAAAACAAGCAACAGCACTGAGGTTACAGATCTGTGAGCAGCAGAGCATACCGGCCGACACTTCAGGGGGCAAAAGTCACATGTTGGAATGTGGTGGTTTGAAAGATAAGATATGTATGTAGTATATAATGTGGATGTGAGCATGTTAACATTACCACTCAAAGAGATTGAAGATAAATACAAGGGAACTAAGGCCCCGTTTATACAGAGACACTGCTGCAGCAAAACGCTATAGTTGGATGTCGGTTGCTACCCCCTATTCATACGGAGACTGTGTTCCATTGGGGTGAAAACGTAAGAGTTAAGATCCAGCCTGCAGAGTGGGACAGCTCAGGCCCAGTTTAGACAGAGGCGCTGCGCAGACGTTGCCAAGCTATTAACAGAAACAACCAGGCTTCTTGTGCAAATTTCATTTCGTACATACGAGGATCAAAAACGTAGTTCTGGCGGAAGAACTTTACAACACAACAAAAGGGACCCCCGTGCCCCCCAGCAGTATTCTCACTTCTTCTGCAAGACGTGACAGATGCACCAACATCATTCTGCATTTAACAGCAGCTGCGAAAATGTAAACTGAAACTAGAGCTTCGCGTGGTCTAGTTTGGACAAACAAAGGTGTAGAATTATCCTCTGTGCAGCGCTCGAAGCCCACGTACCTAGTTAGTGTAAACAACCAAGCTGGATGCACAGGATCCCAGTATGTCTGAGTCTGATTTCCCACAGGTGGTGGAGAGATGCGTGGCTCTCTGTGCATCCAGCTTGGTTGTTTATTCACAAAAATGGTAGTTGATTCAAACAGAGCAAAAGTCAAGACGTGGTTATATAGTCATTGTTACGTCACACATCGAAAGACAGTACGTGTCAAATCCAGAGACACTCACAAGTATATCATAGTCAAAACATGGATGCATCCGAGTCCTTGTAGAATCTTGTGCTTGTCCTGCACGTAGGCCAAATCGCTATCTAATCCTAACATACCCGTCGCCATTGTTGTTTACGTTTGTTCTTGGCTACTGCGCATGTCCAAATTTACGTGCGGGGAGCAGCGGGGAGGTGGGGGTCAGAGCAGCGGCGGAGAATTCACACCTTTTCCCTCACGCAAGTGTGAAAAAGCGCCCCGCTGTGCAGCGTATCTGAGCTGTCCCACTCTGCAGGCTGGATCTGAACCCTTACATTTTCACCCCCCTGGAACACAGTCTCCGTATGAACGAGGGGTAGCAACCGACATCCAACTATAGCGTTTTATAGCATCGTCTCCGTATAACCTGGGCCTCAGATACGCTGCTCAGCGGGGGCTCTTTCACACCCGCGTGAGGGAAAAAGGTGTGAATTCTCTACTGCTGATCTGACCCCCACCTCCCCGCATGTAAATTTGGACATGTGCAGTAGCCGAGAACAAACGTAAACAACCATGGCGACGGGTAAACTAACGAGCTACGTGTGCTTCAAGCGCTACACAGAGGAGGATTCTACTCCTTTGTTTGTTCCAAACGAAACCACGCGATGCTCTAGTTTCAGTTAAAATTTTCGCAGCTGCTGTTAAATGCAGAATGATGTTGGTGCATCATTTCACGTCTTCCAGAGAAAGTGAGTGCTTGGACTGGGGCTCGCGTGTGTCGTGTTGTAAAGTTCCTCTTCCCACTACTGTCCGGGCGCTAGAACTACATCGTTTTTGATCCTCATATGAACGCTGTGAAATTTGCATAAGGAGCCTGGTCGTTTCTGTTAATAGCTTGGCAACGTATGCAAAGCGCCTCCGTTTAAACAGGGCCTAAAAAGGTCCACTCAAATTAAAAAGTGTATAGATCCCTGGGTAATTGCCCCAACACTTCACCACGGGCAGTGATGGGAATGACGGCGTTATTTTTTTCAGTAACGAGTAATCTAACTAATTACTTTAACGCTATAACTTCATGATAGGACTCGTGCGCGTGTTGTCATGAGAGAAGGGAGGATGAGGAAACCTCTCAACAATTATTGGCTGATGTAAAACATATTTCCTTTACAATCCACATGTCTACAGTTGAGAGGATGGGTCATAAATTGTGTTTTTGACAACAAATATGGGTCTTAATGGCGCCCAACCACGGCTTGTACTTGCAACGTAAGCGCAGAATTCGGCTGCATCCAATTCCTTCAGAAAGCTCCTTTCTTGTTCTACATCTGCTAAGGACAGCAACAGGTTTGGCTAACATACATATAACACATTTTAAGATCGAAATGCACTTAAGGTAATGTTTCAATGACAATAGGAATGATAAGAAAGAGAGGTGAAAAGTAAGAGTAAGAAGGTTGATTTTAGAAATGTTATGCACCCGAGAGTCGGGTGTTTATGGAGGAGGACACCCGTTTTGTTTTAAAACTCATTGGACTTATTTCCAAATGGAGGATTACATATCTGCGCTCAAACCATTATCTGGACTTAAGCATGAAACTGGTCTGAACTGAAGTGGTCAGTGCAGGTCATGTTAAGCCTAGCGTACATCGACAGAGAAACTGGGGACAACTAGTTGCAAGGCGGCTTTTGGCAACTGAGAGGAGATGGTGGGAGATGATCAGTTGCCGAAATCGGTCGATGTGCGTGCTCTTACAACTGGAGATAAACAGTCGGTCTCCAGTTTCAGTCAGTTGCCCGTGTTCTACTTTTCGGCAACTAGTTGTCCTCAGTTTCGGAGATATGACCCGATGTGCGCGCTCCATGCGCCGCTCCGACAACGTGTGTGTATTGCGTGTATTGCGAGCCCGCAACAGTTTATGTCAGAAAACACACTGTAGTTGAGGCCAGTTGCTGTCGATGTACGCGCTGTTATTCCTGAGACTGGTCTGCGACTGGGAGTTGCCCGTTTTCGTCAGATTGTCGATGTGTGCGGGGCAGCAACTCATATGCGACGGATATAATCAGTTGCCAGTCCGATGTACGCTAGGCTTTAAGGTAAGGCTCATAACACACTTTAAAATGTGCTTTTTCATACTTTTTTGTTTGGTATGAGCAAACAATGCGGGAATTTAACATATTCTGCTGTAGCCAAACACATTGTGATTAGCCACTCTGTAGGTCCTGTTGATTTCTATGATATACAGTATGTACATCTGATTGGGGTGAAGTCAGTGCCTCACCAATCACCAACCTCACCGCACATCACTGGTGTTCACAGCTTTGGTGTTTAGTGCTTACAGCACAGGGAGAGATGAAGAGTGAGGAGGACTCCAGCAACAAAACAGCATTTTCCAGATAGACATATTGGCACTATTTCAAACTCACTGAGGTTAAAGGTAAAAATGTGCACGTCGAGTGCACATTGCGTTCCAGAACGAAACGAAAAAGTAACGCAATAGTTACTTTTACTGGTAACTAGTTACTTTTATAGTGGAGTAACTCAGTTACTTTTTGGGAGAAGTAACTATAACTAATTACTTTCTCAAAGTTACGTGCCCAACACTTCACCACGGGCCACACCGGGCCTCTTTAGTTCAGAGCTTTACCTCCATGTAAGGACACCACAATCTCCACCGACGCCCCCGGCTCACAGCTGCTGCTGCTGGGCTTCACCCGGTACTTCTCGGGGGCAGTAGTTCGCACCTATGACATAGAAGAAGCCGGCTTATAGTTTGCCTCAAGAACATTCAACTTGGAGCTTAGACACTTACCTTAAAGGCCACATGATTCTTGGTCACATTGCTCAAAATAATGAGGCTTTTCTTTTCAGTTTCTCCAGATCCAAAACTGAGCTCCTCTGCAGGACTGGCAACACACAAAAACACAGATATGTTATGAGAAAATGTACTGTGCTTAGAGCTGATACCCCAATTAAGCCAAAGTTATCTGAATTCTAGTGCTGAAAACTCCTAATGGTCTACACATATAGAAAATGTGATTAAAAAACTGTTTAATGTGTTTATGTACGAGCAACCTGACGAAGAAAAGCACTATTGGTACATATTTAGCAAACAAAGTAAAAAATACGAAGATAGCCATGTGATTCACTCAAAACACAATAAGATATTGTTGACAGTGACACTTTCAACAATACAAAGCATTAACTTGCTCATTGGACACAGTGATTACTTTTGACCTATATGAAGCAATTTCCAGCCAGTTTAGAAACATATGGGAATTTTTCCATTTTCACACAAAGCCATTTCCCTGTTTGGTGTTTGGCTTTGTAGCCCAAGGCCATATTATCCATAATAATCCTGTTCAATGCATCACTAATCAGATTTGCAACAGTTTGCCTAGTCCATATTTCTGTTATTCCAAAGAATCTGTCTTAAAGCAAAGGGCATTGAGTCCACCTAAATACTCAAGTACACAAATAGATTACAATATGGTCTGAGCACAAGTCCCCTTGAAACCTCGCCCTGATACATGAAGTATAACCACCACCAGGACATTTTTATTCTCCTTTCTCTGTCCTTGTGTGTTGGTTTTTAACAGCTGTGGAGGTTGGTTTTCACTGGAGCTCCAAATAATTCTCCAGGCTCTCCAAACCTTTGGCAAACACAAGATCAAAGTCCCCCTCTCTTTGCTAAAGCCCCCAGTTCTGAATTAAAGCTAGCCCAGTTCCCAAACATAATTGCATTTAAGGCTCATTTAAATCTGTTTATCAATAGAACTCACAGCCGAGAGCAGTGAAAATCCTCACATCAAAGCTATTAGTCCTTCCAAACATAACTCTAAGGACACTGTTTAGGATAAAGCTGTGGATTAATATGGAGTGGAGCGAATGTTGCCCAGCCATGACATCTTATCACAATCCTCATCCTGAGTTGGGCTCATTGACAAGTCAGTTCAATTAAAAGACATGAGCTGAGGTTCTCTCACACACTCATTACTGTATTCCAGTTTATAATTAACACAGGGAACACCTTTCTACTCAATGAACAATTGATTGGGTTGTACTCCTGATGTCTGCACTCACATGATTGACCCATTGAGCTGTACAAACACATCAATAATGGCTTTGGGCTTTTAGCCAATACCTAGTATGTGCTATGATTTCTGTCAATAGATATATGGCAAATAAAGCTGCAGTACCTAAAATTCTTATTTCATATATACAGTAATACATGTCATCTTGTAAAAGTACAATTTTAAGAACAAATTAGACCAAAACATGCGTCTTTATCTGTTTAGAAAACATGCCATCTTTTGCAAACTTGTACAGTGCTGCTAGTTTGGTATTCCAGCTTTATAATAGCGTCACACTCTTCTCTGGTCAATCATTACAGTACAGACTCAAAGTACTTTTCAAAATACAACATGAAGAGAGCTTATGAGATGCAGAAATTATTTACAGACTGCATAAGAATACCTAACATCCAGCAGAGGGCCTTTGAAAGTGGTCACTGGTTTCCGGGCTCCTCTTGTTCTGGTGTTTGTGTCTCTTTCTGCTTCCTCTGACCCCAGACCGCCCTCTACAAAGTTCACCTGCAACAACAAAGACAACTTAATCACTCGCTGCACTGATAGCACAATCAGGCTGACCTCATCTGCTCTTTTAAAATCACATCAGGAGCCTTTTTTATATCAGCATGAAAAGCAAGAGATAATTTTCTGAGTAATTCCAAATTCACGGGAATAGAAGAGGTGCTTTTATCCTAACATAATCCTAAATTAAGAAGTCCCAGATGCGGAAACGCAATCATAGGCATGACCGTTGTACGCAATTGATCCAGGAACACCACAAGACACACAGCATGTCAATATAACCTCTGTGACTTTCTCAAATGAAACTCGCTGACACCATTATTTTGCATCAATCATGTGAGCGCTCTCATATCCTCACTAACCCATCCACTCTGACCCATCACCGAGTAAGACACTCCACGAGACTGCCATCTGATATCACACATGAAGAAATGGAGGGGGTGGGGGAGTGTGCGCTTGTATAATGAGAGGAACACCATGTTGATCAGTGGGAATGAGCCTGATACAGACGTTGAGTTGATACAAAATGAAATGAGGCCATAGTTGAGTGTGTGCGTTTGATGGGGACATTTGTGACTCAAGCAGCAAGTGTGTCATTTTAATGTAAAGCCCCGTCACGCAAGTGCCACAATGAAGACGTCAAGAGAAATCAACGGCTGATGAAAATGTTGCCATTTATTCATCCTTTAAAGAGCAGGTTTCATACAAGAGGTTAAAAATATTTTTAAGTATATAAGTCAAAATTTCAAGTATGAAAAAAGTGTTTCGAACGGATTTTAAATATACAGTGCAGTAGTTGAAAAGTGATTGGCTTTATAAGACATATCAGTTCAAAATCAATTAAAACACACTTAAACAGGTTAGCAATGGAAAAAAACAAAATTGGCTGAAATAAGTGGACTGTTTAAAGGATTACATGACAAATGTACAAAGTAAAAAAAAATATCATTCAAGACACTGAAAATTAGACTTTTCTTTCAGTTAAGACAGCAAGGTGCAGGCTTTAAAGGAGAGTGAACATGGAGGTTAGTGCGTTAGTTTGAACGGTATATAAAGTGTGCTATTAGTAAAAAGGCTAAAGTAGCAGTAGTGAGGCTTTAAATTAGCTTTGAACAACTGTGATCATCAATCTCTATTATATTTATTTAATCTCTGATCATTGAGAGAAGGCTTATGCAGTATTACAATTACACAATTTGCGTAAACGGTTCAACAGTTAAGTGCTAAGGTTTCTCTAGTTATTTTGAAATGTGCTTGTTGAAAGTAGTGGACATGTCCAGGGCTGGTCAAGACTTATGTATAAGGCTGCTGTGTCTCATCTGCAGAAATCTTCTTACCACCACCAACCCTTGTTTGAAAACAAAGAGAGAGTGAATTAGCCTCCGCTAAGGCTATGCTGGAATCAAGGAGACAGGGGAAAGTGCTGAGTCTTGTTTGTTTAAATGAAACGAATGAGCGGCAGAGAGAAGATCACAGTGGAATGCATTCAAACAGGCTCCAAGTGTCAACCGGGAAGTGCAACATGAGATCAAGAACAATGAGCTGCTAGTACAATACAAATATACACTATGTGCGCAAGGAAGTGAGTGTCTGATGTGGAAGTCAGAGATATAGTCTACACCACATTAATTAATTCACCTAAAAGCCATTGAAGAATCCTTTTTGATTCTGTTACATCAAGTAGAAAAAAAAAAATCAGGACACAGATTAGAAGTAGAGCCAATAATTGGGCAATTCTCTAAATCTTAATCCTTTTGCACATGCTGACTAATGTTTAGTCATTAACAATACAATCTTTGTTGCCTTACTGTGTGTACATTTGGGTAAGCATTAAGATACAGAATCAAATTGGCTGATTAAGTCTATTCAAATAATCAAGCGTTCTATTGAGCAAAATATAAAATAAATATTTTAACAAACAGAAAAAAATACCAATGAACCAAACTCCACATGGGAATTCAAAAGGGACTGCTTTTTGAACTTAGTCATCTTAGAATGATCTCCTTTATCTCCTTATACCACATACATTCTTTGCAAGCCTTTTGTGCATGACCCCAGTGTGAAAAGAGCTAAAAAGAGCAAAAAACATTATGAAGTGCACCCTGCGAGGAGAGAGCAGATTCTTTGACATAACCAAACTTCGACTAGGAAGCAGTTTGGTGACAGCGGAGTGTGCGTGTGGGAGGTTGACAGTTCATGCTGAAACCTAGCAGGAGTCTCTCCCCATTAGCTGTGTACTGCTGTTTAAGAAGGAAACAACGCAACAGCAGAAAAACCTCCATAAACAACGAACATGTAATGCAACAAGTTTGAAGGACACATTATTATATCAGTAAAACTTGAAACTTACTCCTCTTCATCAGCTAAACAAGAATCTAGACCTAGAAACAATCAAAAAATATATATATATATTTTTTTACCTTTTTGGGTTTTACAGCAACGTCTGAGTTGAAGCTTATTTCCAGGGCATCTTTGACCTCCGGTTCTGATTCTTTAATCTCAGTTTCCTCTTCACTAGGAAATGGACCATTATCCAGAGGTGTTTGAAAATCGTCGTCTGGAAGAGGAGGGTAACTATATTGGAATGGATCCTGTATGAAAATCAAAATACAATTAATTCAAAACAAATTATCTTTGGTCAAAACCGTGAGTAAATGTGTTATTATTTTTAACTTAGAATATTGGTTAACTTCATCTTAACATACCGTTCCACCCAGGGAAGGTGGCAGGTACTCCAGGTTAATATAAGTCTGGATCTCAGATTTTGATGCAAATCTGAGTTTGCTGATTGCCTCAGGTCCCAACCATGACTTTACAATCTTCCAAGCGGCTGCAAAACAAAGTACACAACTTAAGAACATGAGAAAAACAATTCAGACCTAAACATATGGCTTTGTCCTCAGGACTGTCTTACCATTCATGATCCAGGGCATATCCACTATTATCATTTTGGCTAGAATAATACATACAAGTTAGAAATGCACAATTTATGAATGTCGTGATCAAAAATAAATCTCTATAGGTCTGAACTTGCGAGCAGTCTAGCGAGTACAGACAAGCTGCTCTTGGACAAACTTACAACACGTTCATTAATGTATGTTGTCACTTAAATAGGACACATTTTTAACACTAACATGGTACAGTAAGCCGATAATCCTACACATGCACATTGCCAAACTGAAGTTTTGTTCACGTTTCGAATTGGAGGGCAGTTTTGCCACAGCCTCCTAAAGCCTACAATGGGGACAGCCACTGTCTGTGGGCAGCAGGCATCTGGGAGCCCTGGCTGCTGCATAGAGGACGTGCACGGAGTCTCTGGAGTTTTCTGTTGAACATGCTGTTTATATCTTATTAGGCCTACAATATTGAGGCCATAAATTCAAATTTTACTTATAATTTTGGTGTCTATTTCAAAAGTCCTACTTAAATGTTGCAATTAAATTACATAGCACTGACGCCTACAAAGGATCAAGGTGTTCGAAATGAGACCAACTGCTCGTGCTTATCTGCCCCTGCAAGATCAGCCCTTTAAGTGTACTTACATAAATATTTTGGATAGTATATTTTAAAACAGTTAATGATGTACTTCACAAAATCCATGTCCTGAAACACAATGAAAAAATGATTTATGGAGTGAGTAAATAAGAATACAAATATAACCGTCTCTAATGTTCCATGTGATAAATGTCAATGTCACTGCTCTATGCAAATTAGAAGCAACAGACAAACAGCAGATACATGTCAATGGATACTGCGTCTCTATCCTGGCTTAGCTCCATAATTGGCTTGACGCCTCATTGCTATGCAGTAACCTTACTTCCAAGCTTTAATGAGATCAGGCTAGGTTTGTCTCAGCCTCCAAGAGTAGCTCAGCAGCTCTTTATTGAGCTGCTGGAGAAGTGATCCTTACTAAACAATTGTACCATCTTTTTTTTCAATTATCCTTGTACCTCTTTTCTTACGCATGCTTTATTCGTCCTGCCAAAAGCCTATCTCGCCCTGGAACAGCTAACTGTAACTGTGGATCAGACAGTCCACTCGCTCGATTTGACCGTGGAGATTTAAAAGGTTACTTTAATCTCCAAAGTGAAATACAACTGAATCTGTAAAACTTGTGGTAAGACAAATCACACAAAGATAAGACTTTCTGGGACAGTTTGTGAAACAGAGCGGCTTATGACGTGTATGTGTACAGGATAGTTAAAACATTTTGAACACTCACTATATTGCTGAGGCCAGACTCATTCATGTCAAACACAACGGTAAGCGGCATGCCTGGCTCCTTCTTGGCATACCTCTCCAACCAGAAAGCTACATACTTCTTCTTGTCCAAGATCGTTTTTGCATCCTTCACATGCAATTTCACTTTGAACCAAACTAAAAGAAACAATAGAGAAGACATTTGCAATAAAGTCTAACAAATCAACTATTTCCAGGTTTGTATATCTTCTAAAAAGTATTTCTTATTTGGTCATCGTGTACTTACAAAGTTTGGTTCCCTCTTTGTCATATCCATGCAGGTACACAGCACCAGTCTCAAACATCCATCTGGGAATACTGTTTTCAGTAAGATCTTAGACACAAAAATGCTACATCACTATAGCATAAAAATAATAACATAATAACAAATGTACTTCAGTACAGACACTACACAAAAAGTAATTTGTTCATCTATGCGTCATATAGTCACAGTTTCCATGAATTAAATGTAATATATATGAGTTTTTAAGCCCTAGTGAAAAACTGAACAGTGAATACAGTGTCAATTGTTCTCTGGGATGATTAGCATGCACTCAGTTACTGCCCTGTCTGTTGTGGAATGGAGGGAGTGAGTAGGTGTGGGTGTATAATACATAAACAAACTACTGGCATGTTGACATGTCATACCATTAACACCAAACTCCTTTCTCCATTGTAGACTTTCGTCTATCATTTTCAAAGCGTCATCTACATTATAAAGCCTCCACGTCAGGTAGCCCTCCACCAGGGAATCATCTGTGTGCAGTTTGTCCACGTCTCTGGAGTCGTACTTCTCTGCTGAATCTGCAATGATCATAAGACACTTATTAGTCAGTAACTATGATGTCACAAAGTTACTTAGAGAACTGATTTGACCACTCTCCAATCTCATGCATCAAAATAAGAGTATATTGGCGTGTTTTAGTGAATACAAAAACATATGGAAAAAAGAAACTTAAGTAGTTGCTCTAGATGCAGCTTACAACGTAAAGTAAACAAAACATGGCTAAACTGAACTAAGGACATAAACAGAAACTATACAATTATATGTGTTATGAAGCAAACTATGAAGAACTTCGTGGTAGGGCTGGGCAATAAATCGAATTTTGGCAATTAATCGGCTTTTGAAAAAATCAAATTCGTGAAAAATATGAAAATCGTGAAATCGAATGAGGCATATTGTGAGAGTTCCAGCAGCACATCAATTATACTTGCGATATCAGCACAGTCTGTACTAGACTTTAATATTATGTATTGGGGGAAACAAATTAAAAATAGTTTTGAAACTTAAATATTGAGCGGCAAAATAAAAAATATTTTAAGGGCAAAGTCTGTCTTGAGTGACTTTAATGAAAATCGATTTAAAATCGACATCGTCCAAAGCAGGAAATAAAATCGAGATTTTAGTTTTTTGCCATATCGCCCAGCCCTACTTCGTGGCTAAAACATTGTCACCTTGAAGGAACTCATTCTTAAATCTCTCTCTCATGTCCTCAATCTTCTTTTCAATGTCCTGTAAAAATAACATTTCAAAAACTAATCCATGATACAGTTGTGCGCATTGGACCAAAAGTCCAAATTTAACATTACCTGCTCCGTGGGCTCAACTTCAGCCATGTTCGTCTGTTTCCTTCACCGAGGTAGTTCCTTAATAAACAGCTAACACCAGCAGCTAACTTTAGCCGGAGCTGCTACAGCCATGAATCAGTGCGAACAGTGAAACTCGCCTCGCTCGCTGCCATTTTGGCTCAAATCTTGGCCACTCCTCTCCAGTCTTGTGTATGAGTAAAACATAAAGGGTGGAGTTTTACTGTGTTATCCAGGAGTTTGTTTATGAATTCAAAGTTCAACTTCAGCGTTTCCTAAAAAAGCTCGCCTTATTACTCTCTCTCGTCATAATCTGCACGCCAGCTCAGCGCCGACCCACAATGCCCTGCGCTTAACAGGAAGTGTTTATGTTCCATTGGCGCGTGTGTGCAATGTTTTGAGTGCAACTAAAATGTTATTAATATACAATTACCCTTTTCACCAGTGATGGGAGCTCGGGTTTCGGTATAAAAAGTGCGTCACGATGGAAGAGTTGACCTCACAAACTTGTTTTCACCACAACCTCGTCTCATCATGCGGAAAAATAATTTCTTTTCATAAACATACTTCGGGTGGAACTGACACCAAAGAAGAAGGTGGCAAGGTATTTTTCTCAAGACAGTCTTTTAAACGAGAAGATAATCTATTTCATAGCGAAGATAAAGGAGTAGCTGTCATCACCAGGTCCACAAAAGGTTCTCAGGTGGACATTCTGAAGTGCAAATGTATTCATGCTCATAATATGCTGAAACTTCCCTGTGTCCTTGTGGCCAAACATGTAAAGGAATCATTTCATTACAGTGTACTCTCTCTGGGCACCTCAAATCAACTTGAAACTTGCTTTAAGTTTAAGCTTCCATATAAAATTAAGGAGAATGTGTCCATTTTGGGGGGACCCACAGTGGTATGGAGTCACGCTGGTCACGTATGTTACACGTCCCCTCAAGCTGGACTGGTCAAGCAGATTCCCATTGACATGTCACACACACTGGTTGGGGAATTCCCTCTCAACAATGGCTCTTTTGTTCTTGGATCACAAAGTGTATCAGAATCCCATCAGGAGAGGACAAGTCGCACCTGTGGATACTTCATTCAAGATGGACAAATGTTTGATGGAGATTTGGTTTTACCTCATCCATACATTTCAATCACTTGTTGCCTCTTGGTGCTCTCAGCTGTAAAGTCTAATGATGGACTGAAAATATCTTCTGTAGCAGCGACTTCCAACCAACAACTTCTCTATGTTGAAAATAGTGTTGTGAAAGATGTATGCCGACTTCCTTTCACTAAACCAGAAGACATTCAGCATGTCAATACTGGGAGAAATGGAAGTCTTTTTGTCATATCTTGCAGTGACGGCCATGTCTGTGCAGTCTGGAAACATACTTTCACTGTATGTAACATACAGATTACTTGATTACTTAATCAAAAACCTGAAAAAATACACCTAACACGTTTCCTGCATGTTTCTTTACAGGTTGCTTCAGAGTGGTCAGGAGTTACTTCAGTGCTTGTTGATGACTATCTTGGTATTGGAACAGATCAACTATTACTAATTTTTAAAAAGGCAGATGCACCCAGTCAGCCTTTAGGATCATTTTTGATAACTGATCTTTGTGGTGTTTCCTTCTCTGTGAGTCACTAAATTCAGGTTTGGCTTCATTTCAATAACAAGATGTTTTCACAACAGCATCTATTCTGTTTTCCAGAATCTCCAGGCTAATGAACTCAAGAAACCCCTATGTGCTCAACCTGAGAATAATGCATTCACCATTGAAGCTTTAGAATCACGACTTGTGGTTAGTGGCCACAAACACAATGTTATTTTTAATATTGCTACTAATTATCACAAGTATATATTTTTTCTTATAGAGTGGGTTGACTGTTCTTAAAGAACTTCAGAGAGAAGAAATAACCAAAGAAAGAGTTATACAGCAATCATTACAGTCTCTTACTGGTGATACGAAAAGGCAAGGGGCTGGTCTAACGCCATTTGAACAGGTAAGAATGTTTATTGTAGTAACATCTGAATGTGACTCTTTTCATTTATAGTTAATAATTCACTCCACTGCTGTCAGATCATCTGCATGATGTGCTCAGTCCAAATTCATCTAGTTACAAACAACTTATTTGACCCCACAGCTCATAACTGTTGATCGAGTGTCATATTTGATATGACATGACAAGCTACGCAAGGCAGGCATTCCTTATTTCTGTCACTGAAGCTAATGCATCCTGCTGGCTATAAATCTTAAGTGCTATACATAGTTCTTATCAAACTCCATCTTTTCATTTTTAATATGTCTTGTCCCAAGGGGAATCAATTTTTGATTAAAGGGCAGTGTTTTTATTTTTAACACACAACATGACAAAGGACCTACAGCATCGCAATGACACAATGACTAAAGACATACACCACAATGAGTGGGATGGAGGTGGGGTAGTTTCATGTAAGGTTTATTATGTGCTGAATAATGTAGGATGTGAGCCACAAAACTGAATGACAATGCAGGTCCGTTACAATACCACTTCACTATTTGTAAACGCCTAATCCATTGATAGTTTATGTATGTTATATGTGTTTTATGTCATGTATTTTTCACAATAGTAGGTGGGGTTGTTTCACTGATCTCATTTCCCATTGCCAACAATCTTTTGCGCAGGAGTGCCTTGTCAGTCTGTGGGACGTTGATGAAACAAAGGATGAGATTGAAGATGACAAAATGCAAGACATAATAACTGTGTCATCAAATCCTCGAGTGGACAAGCTATGGCATCGCGTCAAAGAAGACCGGCTGGTTGTAGGAGTGATCTTAACGACGGACAACTCTGAGTATAATATATTCTTTCTCATTTTAAATGCATGCCAATTGTTATGCGATATAGTTGCTTTAAGATAAACACACTATATTAATTCGATCTTCTTTAAAGCTGTTTTCATAAATACATTTTGTTTGTTCCAACAGAAAAAGTTTTGTTTAGGTAACATTTTGTGAACAAATCAGACGACAATATGCTTCTTTTATCTTAATAGAAAACAATATGTTTGAGAGCTGATTGGCTGAGTGAGGCCTGGTACTCTCATTTTCACTGAAAAAAATGATCTGTGAAAACAAGCGATAGAACCAAACATAACTTGTTACTGTATTATTAATTAATTGTATTATATAGTTAATATTGTGTGGTTACAAGTTGTGCATTCCAGCTTTAAATATTTGGGTAAACTAAATCCTAACCATAGCAACACCGCTTATGTCAAATACCTCAAAATGCTGCTAAAGCAAAGATGTGTCACTGCAAGGCATATTTTATACAGTATCAGCACCTCATCTCAAAGAACGTACTGATCTTTTAGAGATAAACTGAGGATGCGGCTAAAAAAGAACTGTCTAATCTTTGTCAACAAGACCTTAACCACGTAAGCATGAAGGGTATGTTTAACCATAATGTTATTAATATGTTTTGTGAGACTGCAGTAAAATCTATTTAACTGCAAATATTTCTCACACCACACATCAATTGTTTTGTGCTAGTAACTGTAATGTTTGGATTTTCCTTCTATAGATATTTGTGTATAGGAATTACTGCTCCCCTGCAGATATTATGTTGTCTACTATTACATCTAAATGATGGATAAGAGGGGAGATCTAAGTAATGCGTTCAGACACACATAGGTATTTCTGTCTAAAGTTTTTTTCACACCCGGATATCTTACTATCCATGAGATAGTTGATCCTTCGTGATGTGTTATTCGTGTTTCAGACCAATGTCCGGTGTGAGCTTATTCATCCTGACAGAGATGGGCCAGAGTTCAGCACCCGGGGCTGTCCAAACCCAGAGCCAAGTGTTCTGGCTCTCCACACTCGGCCCCTCACCGCCCACCCCCACGTCGCCCTCCTCCTGCACAGCGCCCGCAGCCAAGAGGAGCAGGCAGCAGCGCAGTGCCCAGACCAGCCATGATCTCAACACGGGCAGACTGGCCGTGACTGCGCTGGCCGCCCTCACACCTTTGTTGAACTCCGGCCGTGTCAAGTGCCATGTCATGCTACATTACGTTCCGACACAAGACACGTTTGGCCCCGCGAGCGATTCTACACCGACCACTCTGCACTGTGGGCAGTTGAAGCTGCAGTTACACGGTCATTTACAAACACAGCTACTGTCCAGGCCGAAACTCAAAACAGGTACTTGATAAGTGCTGACAAACGCAATGATTAGTTAGTCTAAAGCCAAGATCAGTATCTGAAGAACATTCAAAATAGTATGATTCTTAATCAAGACCTTTCTGTAATGGACCGTGTGAGTCTTGATTAAGGGCCAATCAATGTAATATTTTAAATATTTGTTTTATTGAATTAAATCAAATATTTCAAATGTATGCTCATCAGTTGTATCAATGTAAAATGTATTACTACAATATATTATGAAATGGATAGGCCTATATTAGCTTAGAACAGTGGTTCTAAAAGGGGGTGGCACTCCAGTGGGCCGGGGGGTTGAGGTGATTCAAGATAATAGTCTGGAGAAAAAAAAAGGTTTCACTCATTATTTGACACAAAAACAATAATTTAAGTACTTTTTCAAATACAAAAATAGTACAACATATTTTGCCTGTTTGGACACTTTGGAAGTTGATTCCACATATTTTGGGCGTCCCTGACTGAAACGTTTAACCCTAAACTAAATACATGAAGTCAAAGAGTTGTCTGTAATGACATCATATCATATTTTAGAATTATAATTGCGCTATCTATCCTTTTTGTTTTCAGATGAGAATCAGGAGGACTTTCTCGCTTTGATGGCATTGCTGGATCACTGGACTTTTCACATAGACTCTCCTGATTACAGCCTGGGTGATATAGCCGGCCAGATTGAGAAAAGAGTAGGCTGTGAAAGGATAGAAGTGAGCCCTCAACATCTTCTGATAAATTCTGTGGGACCATCTGCTCCTACGCTGCTCTGCTGGCACCAGATAACCCCTTTTCAGGCCGAGCTGTCGGTGCACTCCAGGTACAGCATTATACTCTTGCTCGATCCTATCTGTGGAGTTTTCAGGGCAGTCGGTGATGTCTTAATACATACATCCACTAACAAATACATTAAGGGCCTCATTATTTTACCCTGATGCATGCATTGTTTTGGTTCAAAGTTAAAACACTTATTGAGCAGCAGCAAAAGCCAAATGAGCAGAATAATATACAGCACTGAGCATTTTCAATTTATATTAATAGATTCATAGTTGACAAGTCTTTGAAGTTGTCTCCGCAATTTCCCTTTGAATATTCAAGAGATTCCGAATTTGCTGAATGCTTAAATCTACACAACTTTAGTTAAACCCTGGTAATACATTAGGTTATTGCTATGCACATTATGTCTAATTTTATGTAACTAAAACATAAATCTGAAAGTGTGTTTTGTGTTGTCCGTCTTAATCCATCAGTGGTAGCATTGTATTACTGTATGTACTGTACAGTTGTATGTTTGAGAATTCTACTGCTTGATAATGTGTGATTGGGGTTGGAATCAAATAAGCATCTGCTTCCATCCCCTTTTTGAACCAGGTACAAGTTATTTGTCTGTTATATTGATATATGTAAAAATATGTATTGTGCAGGTTCGAAATAAATAATGAAATAAAACAAAAGCAAAAAAGTATTTATGAGTTATTTGGCATTCATGATGGACTAATCTTTGCTCTTGTGCAGTGAGTTACAGATGCTGCAGTTCCTGGACTTGCTGTTGGCCTACCTCCCAGAGTCATGCACCGTGGAGCCTGTCAAAGCTACCAGAGGACGGAGCACACACATCTTTCCCCTCTCACTGGAGAGGGAAATAACCTCACTGAGGGACTGTGCGTCTGCCATGCTTTCCAAAGAAAAGGATGATGATAACGACACAAGAATGAGCTCTTTTATCGCTCCTGACCCGCGCTGTGGAGAGGCTCTCCAGAGGTGCAGGGATGACTGGCAGAGGGACGTGGAGCGGAGCAAAAGGAACTTGTGCCCCCTAGTGGACGTGCAGAGATACCGCGTGTGGACTGAAAGCCTCTTCAAACAGCAGCTCGGTGGGGATTTGGCAGCTCTCATAGAGACGCAGAAAACTTAGTACGTTCTAAAAGGCTACTGTCAGCACTCCCATCAGCCGTAGCGTGCCTTCAGTCCCTCAAGTGTCACTGTGTTTTGACTGTTTGTCTTCTGTGCTGTTTGCATTGAAGCTGTATTAAAGGCTGCTCCTGATTCACACTGCACGCTGACCTCTTTGTGGTTGCTCTTTCGGACGACCTCATGGGTGGATATTGTGTCTGATGCCGTGGTGTGGTGCCTCTTCCTATTTCTGTTAGATTGCCCCTGGGTTTCACAGCCTTCATCTGATCCCGCACTTTGCCCAGTCTCCTTCTGTTTGTGTCCCTGTAGACCCCCAGCGCTCCATATCATTGCTTTATGGTTTGTGTTGTATACTTTGTTCTGTTCTTCACTGCTGTAGTTGCTTTTGGTGGGATTCTCACCTCATGGTTCAGCTGTGTTGTGCTGTGAAATGAAATTTGTCCACACTCCAGTCCATGGTGTTTTTAAAAATGCCACTTCTTCTAGTTAACATCAAACCTTACTTAAAAGTAAGGTCAGAGGATGGTGAATTTTTCCTCTCCCTGCAGAGATGAGACAAGACATATATTTTGTTGGCTAAAGGTCTTGGGAGTCTGAAGCAGTTACTGTCTGTATGTTCTATTAATCCCTAAGAGACTCACTCATATCTGTGCTTCAGTGCACATAACAACCGTTGATGGACTCTAGTGTAACATAATTATAGCTCACAACATGTTTTGACGTGTTGTTAGATGACCAGGCCTGAAACATGTTCAAAAGAAAAAGCGAAACAAATCACAAAGACTCCTCTACACTGTGACCAAACCTTAATTTCATGTGACAGGTGGAGACGCTTGCGTATCCTATTCAGTAAATAACGACAATAAATGGCTCAAGGCTGCCGTTCTCAGCTCTCACAATACAAATTACATTTTCCTCTCAGAACCCTGACTGCCACTGAAATATAACATTTGTCTGCATTATTTCTGGTTAACTTCTATTAACGCTGAGACGTGAAAGCCTCTCGGGTTTGTGCTCTCAATTGATTCCAGCTCAATTAACTGGGAAAAGATAATACAGATTTAATAGTTATACATTAACATCATAACAACCGAAGTGTAAGCACCGGTGATAGCTGGAGTTTGTGGTGTAGTTAATAGGCATTACTAAGATCATAGCCCTTTCGTCTTGTTTATGGGTAAGTAACCAGTGGCCTCTAATACAGATACATCTAGATAGCAGTTTACTCGTCTATCACTGGTCTTCCTACATGTCTCTTGTCTAATAATGAATGTAGCACTGTTGATACATGTTGTATTGACAGGATGCTCTGGTCCGTTATCCCTACACTCTCACATTGATTCTGTTTTGGGTCTCCACAGTGCGTCACCCAAACAGGCGGCAGACATCAATACTGTAATAAAAATACTGCAGGACACAGTGTTGTCCTCAAGTGTACACTTCAGAAATTTAAAGACTTCTCGTGAGGCTAGAAAACATCAAGCACAATAAATTCAGCAATATTTTTTAAAAGCTTACGAAAAGCCCTTAAGGGTTCAGAGCTTGGGGATATTCTTTTTGATCTGCTGTGCGTAGAAAGCATCCCCACTTTCTTTGGAACTGTTTTGTTTTCCTATCAAGACACAAAACTGAGCTCAATAAATACTGTTTAACCCTTTTTGATAAGGCATCACAGGAAGAAGCCTAATAGTACCGAAGTGGTAGTTCTAAGTCAAACGCATAAATCATGTTTTTCTTTTCAAACAATTCATTATGATTTGTTTTATCATTTAAAACAAATAAGGATCAGATTTCTGAGGTTTGCCCATCTCCATTGTTCACATCATGTGACTGCTTTAACAAACAAGCTCTTCTTGATCTTTTCAATAACTTTTCACAGGGCAAACACATTATTCTCAAACAGACTAAAAGCAATACTTGATACAAGAGTATTCATTTTCTCATCCTGACCTTCTGTGTAGTTACCATGACAACCACCATCGCTCCTCTCTGCTCTCACAAAGCAGCTCCTCAAAACACTAATGAATGAGAAAGTTGCTCGCCTCCTAAACACAATTACAAGCAGCAAATCATTTTTCTCCCCAATAAGCCGTCATAGGAAAATTGGTTATATAAAGGCATCCCTGCATAAATAGCATGCTGTTGCGTAATGAGCTGTCATTGAAATGAATGATATTTCCACAAGGATTAGTATTATTGATTAGCCAATAATCCTTTTGTTTTGTCCATTATAACGCAGTCGAGTGATTCTTGCATTTGTGTAAAACTGATTCACCCAAATCTTACAAATCTTATATGTACTTCTGGTGTAACTGGGCACATCACCTGTATCATCTGCTTTGAATAATGTTTATGTTCTATGCTTCAGATACAATTTCTGATCTCTCTCTCTCTCGCTGTATATATACACATATATAAGTACAATATGTCTGTCACGGTGTGGATTTTGTTATTTTGTACTTTGGTTTTATTTTGACATTTTTTCTCTGTGGTTTGGTTTTGAGTTTGACTTCTGCGCTGTTTCCCCTGTCTTGATTGTCTGCCCCGCCCTGATGTGTTTCACCTGTGTCCCTGTCTATAATTACCCTGTGCCCCTCTCCACATGTTGCTGGTCCATTGTTATGTCAATGTCCTGTTTCGTCATGTCAAGTTCTGTCTTTGTTCCTAGTTCTGTATTCTTGGATTTTGAGTTTAGTTTTCACCTGGACTTTTATTTTAATTAAATCATTATTTTTTGCATTCCTGCATTTTGAGTCCTCCATCATCTCAAGCTCGTGTCAGAATGGACCAGCCACAAAAGGACTCAGCGGAATGCCCTTTTTCCACACCTGCTCCCAGTTCGTCATCCCATTCATCAGGTTTTTATTTTATTTTCGCCTCATCACCGCTGACCTCTCAACCTGTTTCTGGAACCACCGCCCGACATCAACCTTCGTCTGGGGTGGTCTTGTCCCTTTGTACCACCGCCGGGTATTCGTCTCCGTCCGGGGTGGTCTTCTGTCCCCCCCCTTGACATGTTGAGAGGTCTACAGTGACGCTCTGGCCTGGATGGTGCTGTCTGTCTGGATTTTCTACCCATTTTGGCTGCTACCCAATGATGACCTCTCCTTCCCTTCACCCGTTGCCACCGCCAGACATGGATCTCCGTCTGGGGTGGTTCTGATCCTGTTGCTGCGTCACCGCCGGACATTCGTCTTCGTTCGGGGTGAGCCAGACCTTTTGTGTAAGGTCATCACTGGGTTCTAGTTCCTGCCCTCGATTCTGTCCATCGAACATTGCCTCTGGTCTGTGGTTGTTCCTACCTCTGGACTGCCCCCTCCACCCTCCCTGGCTCGTGTTTATTTTCTGGGGACATCTGGGAGCTGTCCCTTGGAGGGGGGGTACTGTCACGGTGTGGATTTTGTTATTTTGTACTTTGGTTTTATTTTGACATTTTTTCTCTGTGGTTTGGTTTTGAGTTTGACTTCTGCGCTGTTTCCCCTGTCTTGATTGTCTGCCCCGCCCTGATGTGTTTCACCTGTGTCCCTGTCTATAATTACCCTGTGCCCCTCTCCACATGTTGCTGGTCCATTGTTATGTCAATGTCCTGTTTCGTCATGTCAAGTTCTGTCTTTGTTCCTGGTTCTGTATTCTTGGATTTTGAGTTTAGTTTTCACCTGGACTTTTATTTTAATTAAATCATTATTTTTTGCATTCCTGCATTTTGAGTCCTCCATCATCTCAAGCTCGTGACAATGTCATGACGATACTGAAGTGTGTGATGTCCACAGGTCCATGTTTGCAGTGTTGAGGATCTGAGCGCGTACAGTGTGAAGGCCATTATCATGCATTTATGGAAACCCTCTGTCATATCACATCTGTGTCACTGTGGGCCACCCAGCCCTCTATGGGCTTTGTCACCGTCTCAGCGTAGCGACCTGCTTGGCTGTCTGCTCCAGTGAGTTTGATTTTATATTTGATTTAGACCTCGAGTTGCTGCATTACAAAACTACATAACTTATTTGAGAAATTAAAAAATGCCCAATATTTATTATTGGCCATCAGGCCTGACCCTTCATAGTGGCATTAGAACGTGAAAATGAACTCTTTTGTTGGCAAATTACACTAGGACTGTAATTAACGATTAAGGATTTGTTGTTTGGATCCAGAAGGTCAGATTATGGGATTTTTATACATTTGACCAAAACAAAGCTCCAGTGAGGATTCCTCTGCAGACCTCTTCATAGAGATGACTTGTTACACATTGGGTTGTTTGATTAAAAATACTTTATAAACACTTATTATTGTTTATAAAATTATATAACCTCTTCTCAGCATTTTTAAATCTATGGGAGGTTCAAAAACTCTTGATAGATTACAAATGAATTGACAACTACTTCAATAATGTATTAGTTGAATCTGTTTTTTAAGACCAGTGTTTTGTTTGTACATGACGCACAGTCCACTCTGACAAAAATGAGGCCATTCAGTCGAAAATAACAGGTACAAAGAAACACTCTTGTCTTAAAAAAGAATCCACTTGTAGAACTTTTCAGGAGACCAAAGGAACCTTGATTGAACCTTGATTAGTTGTGATTAAATTGTTTGGTACATATTTATTTTCTTTTGTTTATTCCGTTGGTTTTAGTAAAGGCTCAGAAAAACATGTTTAGAGGATTCACTACCACTGGATTTAGAATCATTATGTGCACAGTCAATTTTATTGATGTATGGATCAGAAAACAACCTTTTTAAACACATTTGTATATAAAGGACGTATTGATCAGCAGTCAGAAGTGCAAGAGCCAATAATCATTCAAACCAATATTATATAAAATAATCTTGAATAATTTCCTTATAGTCAACACCATAGGAAATGAATTAAGATGTCCATTCCACAGGGAAGGGTTGAGTACAGTAACCCATTCCCCCATGATAAATATATATTTCCATAGAGAATAGACTAAATCTACAAAACTTTAAAAATACCAGCACAGAAGAGTCATGTGGAGCAACATTGACTAATGCAGTTTCACAGTTTCATCTTTTACTTTAAGGTGTATCTGATAAATTAGATCTAAAAAGAATTTCCTTCAAAGAAACACTTATTTGAATCCCTTCCATTTATGTCATTTGAATAAGAATTGGTTTAATATTCACACAAAAACGTATATATACTGCAAAAGAACCTCTGGATACTTGGCCACAGGTAGAAAAGATCAAACGAATCAGCTCACCGAACAAGAGGAGATGCCTGAAAAAATAGATGCCCGTAACACTTCATCTCACCAGGTCTTTGATATCTAAGGCTTCAGGTATTTCATAAAAATGCAGCGTCCGATGTGATCTGAGTCCATGCCAAAGACGTGCTCTTACTCGTCAATGTTTCTGAATAAACTTGGTGTGCTCCTGTATTGTGAGAGAGGGCTGCACTGATGATATATAAAACAATTACAACCTCGATTATAACTGTTTGAAAGGTTTTGCTTTGCCGGTTATGCTGTAGCCTTCTCTTGTAAATACGGCCGTCAGTTTGGCTATTGTCTTTAAAAATGGATTAAGAGTTTTCCAATCGCTTTGCTGAGAGGAGAATGATTATTACTTATATCTGCACTCTCCGACATGCGCACTAATGACTAGATGCAAATTAGTTCCAGATATTGAATGCGTGTCCCGAGCAGTGCTACAATTAAAGCTGGGGTACTTTCATAATTAATATATGTTGTTTGAAAGAGGAAGAGCCATGTATAAGTAGCATTTTGAGAATAAATCAGACCACAACCACAACATTTACATTACAAGCTTGTAAGAGAGAGCCCTGGGCTAGGGCTGTAACTAACGGCTATTTTGATAATCGATTCATTATTATTCCTTAGATTCATCCATTAGTTGTGTAGAAAGCAGATACTGTATGTCATTTTAAAACATGATGCTGAAAAACGCATTTACCGTGAGAGAGGCAGCTGGAGGACTTAATTCTACACAAAAGTATTTTATAATTAGGTTGACATTTGTTTTATTTTTACTGCTCTGTTTGAGTCTTAAAAACCACATCTCACAGCACTTACATATAAAGCAATAAACAATTTATTGCGCACTAAAATATTTGTCCCAATTAGTTGCATTTAATCGATTCATTTCCACAGAACTACTTTGGGCTGAGAACTGAATGGCTGTGTGAATGTGGTCCTCTCTTTTTCACTTTTCTGTCTGAAAAAGCTGATCCAAAGATACATGCGAAAACTCTTGATGGAGCCAAACTGATTTGAGAGCAAGGAACGAGCTGGATTTATTAGTTAAATTTTTTGTGGTTTTTAAATGTATGTACCCCAGCTTTAAAGATCAAATTTGATTTGAGAAATTCTTGAATGAATCCTAATGCACCAGCAGGGGGCATTGCATTTGAGTCGTGGAAAAAACGGGATTTCCTTGTGTTTTTTGATTCACAAATATATCTTGACTTTAAAATTTATCTTATGAACGGTATTGTCTTAGGTACTTAGGTACGCCGTATTTCCTGAAAACAGCCACAATTGACGTTATCCCTGAAAAAAACCCCACCATGTGACTTCTTTGTAAACCGTCTCCAATATTGTGCTTTCTTCATGAGTCTATTTCTGATTCATGTCTGATGATTTTGTACGTGACCCAGTAGAAGACGTTGAAGATGAGGAAGGCCAGGGGAAAGGCCGCCCTGGAGATGGTGTCTATCCTTTTGGCGCGGTCCACAAACTTCTTCTTCATGGCGTCTGTGTCTTTGGGAGTGGGCGGCAGAGCGGGGTTCGGAGCTGGAGCGGCGTTCTTCAGAGCCGAGCTGTCTTTGGTTGGCACGCTCGTGTTGTAGCTGGCCAAGTTAAAGCGGCCCTCATGCATGTCGTCATCCTGGAAGTGAAGATTGCACACACACACACACACACACTCTTACTCTCTGGGTGCAATTTCTATTTCTAAAACATGAAGCACAAAAAGTCAATACTGTATGAAGATGATGGGTTTACATGGAATTCTGAAACTATCATTCAATGTAATTATGTTTATGAAATTATCTTGAGCCTAAACTGGTTCAGAGCAATCTCATCTTGGAGCAAAGGCTAGTTACCATAGCAACATCCTCAAAAAAATCCCAAAAAACAGTTTTCGTTTTTCACTACTTTTATCAAATTTAAGTAGTTCATATAGTTGTTACCTTTAACATATGCTAAAACTGGTGAATATACATGAAACACTGCAAAACTAAACAGTGTGTTGCTACAGTAACTTGCACTTGCTCCAAGCAGAGATTGCTCTGAATCAGTCCAGGGTCGAGATACTTTTTTAAACATAGTTAGGGTGAAATCATCTAAAGATAGAAACAGAATAAGTCACAAAGTTATGAAGACAAAAACAGACACCATCAGAGTAAATATAGTTCTAAAACGAAAAGCCGTCAAATTGACTGCTCCAGGAGTTCTAGTGTTAATATAGAAACAGATTGATTGTCTTTGGCTCCATGTTGGAATCACGGTACAAAGCAGTAGATTTAATTTAATTTGTTTTGGCCATTGGGGTATCACAAGTTCAGAGCAGTGGGAGGGCAGTTCAGGGGAGTACGGAAAGAGACTAGAGTTTATCCATTAAATATCTGAAATCTATAGATATTAATTAGAGGTGTTTAGAAAATATCGTTAAGGTGGGTCACGATTTATTCCACAGTAAAAAAACATTGTGATTCGAAATATATTTTATGGTAGTTCTTTATATATTTAGGTCAACATGTTCAATGCAGGGTCTTACTTGTCCTGCTACAAATCTCATATATGTCATATACAATTTTTTTATTGCCTTCTAGTTTGCTATTGGAATATATTATATTGTATCGCCAAATACAAGGCAATGCACATCCTTAATATCTTATTTGAATAACTCTTTTTCATTCCTACTGTAACATGCACAAACAGGACACTGACGTTTCAGTGTATTTAATGAAGCTTATCTTTTCATATGATATTTCAATTTTTTTCATGTTTAGGTTTTGTATCATCATATGATCATTTGACAATTTGCAATAAAGACCCAGACCTTGTAAGAAAAAAAAAGAAATAACAGCATGAGGCGGAAAAGGTTTTTCAATAACTAATGTAAAAGCAGTGAGCATTAGGTAAGGGGCGAAAATGCATTCTTACTGAATCGTATCAAATCCATTGGAAATATATTTTATTGAATTAAAAGTGTCCTGAATCTATGTGCATCATCATGGCCTGTGTATGGAGGTATCAGATCTGTAAACTCTAAAAGAAAGCCCAGCCTGTGACTAATTCATGATGAAGAGGCAGTGTTATTTCATAGTGTATTTTAATAAGTCTGTTTTACTTTCCTCTTAAAGTGATAGAGTTGATAAATAAAACATGGATCCTTCATTGAATCATCCACTGCCTGTGTATTTTTGTTTCCACGAGCCTATAGTAAACATGGTTAGAGACGCTTTTGTTATGGCCAGTCGTCTTGTACCTTCTGACTCCTTCGTTGTCTTCTCCTCAAACGAAGAAACTCTTTCTGTTGCCGGGAGACAAAATTAACCCCGGCGTATTCAAGCAGCGCCGCAAAAACGAAGAGCAGACAGACCGCCATCCAGATGTCAATGGCTTTTACATAGGAGACCTGCAAACATCCAGAGAGCAAATATCAGCTGTCCATCTTTCTATGTCACTAGCCATGTCACTAATTCACTTTTTAGAATTATAGTTATTGACCACTGCGATGTAACAAAAATCCACAATTATTGACCAAAGAAGAGTAAAGACGTCTAACATGTTACAAGTCCTCTTCATAAGTTCATTCGTGGTCGAAGATGGGGTTTTTTATGTTATCTAAAGAATCAAATACTGTAATCTATTGCTTTTAATATTAATGCAAGGTTTTATACAACGCTTTTTGGACACATCATTCCTTTACTCCATACACAATGGGGATAAACTATTATCATAGCCAAAGCTGCCCAAGGGCACACTGACAGAAGCGAGGCAACCAGTACATGTCATCGGCCCCTCCGACAACCAGTCACGCACACACCAGACTCCTAAGCAATGAAATGTCTTGCCAGACACAACAATAGATTAACGCTTTTCAGCCGCCCAAATGTGGCACCTACTGTTTCCAGAGGTCTCACATCACAATACTAACAAGGTCCTGCCCTGCTCAGCTTCAAGGATCTGATTGACTCTGGCTTACACATGTAGGTGATGCCATTAGAGTATTACAGTATGGAACGGTGCTAGCTTATTTAAAGAAATCTTTATCTTATCTTTAAAGAAAGCAAATTCACTCTATGAAATTGAATGCAGCTCGGCATAAGGCCATATCTACTGGTACTTTTTGTCAAATAGGATAAAACAAATTGAAATGTATTTTTTTCTTCTAAAATCATAAAGAATACATATAATTTTCCAGTTTGTACGATTGCAGTTGATCCAAGCAATTAATATTTACAACCCAAATGCACAAATCATTTCAGATACCTTCATGATATTTCATTATGTTGTCTTTGTTCAACACCGCAATCATTTTGTTGACCAAGATATTTTCCAAACTACAACCCTATATTCTTTTTAAGTAGTGGCAGCAGTTTTGATCTCGTCAGGATGTAACTCAAATCCTCCGCTGACCTTGCCTTTTGGATGACAGCTGATTAGCATGTGGTAAAAACAACTCAGCTCTTCTCCGGCTCTCGGGGCGTTCCATAGCCGTCGTCTGAACACTCTTTCAAATGCCTTTCTTTCAATATTTATCGGCAGAGGTGTCTATCTTTGAGGCTTTTGTTGTTTCTCAGAGAACGATTGATGATCAAGGTCTGACTGCACTTCTCCCCAGTTTCCCCTCTTTCCGCACTATCTGCATGAAGTTTATCATAATTGGAGAATAAGGAAGCGTGCGCACGGATCAGATGACAGAACGCCTCATCCTGCGGGAGTGGCTGCTCTCCTGATCTCGAAAATAATTCTTTCTTTCATTGGTGACTAATGTGAACGGAGTAAACATCTTGTCTAAAGTAAACAGAGCTGTGAAGTAGTGAAGTAGGCTTTCATTCATGTCGCTCATGTGGAAAACTAGACTTATTAGTAAAGTTTTGAATCGTTTTTGCATGGTTTACAGGATGGACAGCACATTATTCTCTTTACGGTATGGAATATTGTGATACTATAGTAATATCAACTGGGACATAAGCTAGAAAGGGCTTTGTGGTGGTATTAAAACTTACCTGTCACTGATTCGGTCACTTGTTTTAACATGCATGTATTTTTCTCCTCTATCACATCTTTAGATCTATGTTTTTCACTGAAAGAAGAGGACCACCCTCTCTCAGCTCTCAGTGTGTAAAAGTGTAAAAATGTTTTCTGAAGATAAATACAGCATGTGCTTGGATTTAATTGACCCACAACAGTGATAAAAAACGAAAACAAAAAAATATATATTTCGAGTTGAATTTCTGCTGATTTTTCCTAACTTGACCGGCCCTGGGTCATATAGACCCTAATTTAGGGTATTATTCTTCAACTTGATTTGTGGTGCGTCATTTTGACCCAAGGATAGCACAAGACTCAACAAAATGTATTTACTGTATGAAACCAAAAAAGTTAAGCACCCCAGCTTCAATTACCGACCAAACAATCCAGGGATACATACCGTATGCTACATATACAGTACATAAACACATAATATGCTTATAGTATGCACCCCGGTGGCTCTTTTTTCAAACCGTATTGATTTATTATTTAAAACTAAAGTCAAAAGTGTTTGCATGTCCATGTATAAGACTGTTTGCTCAACGTCTCATGTTGTGACCTATATTGACATTGTGAAATAGTAATATGTGACAATTAATAAAACATCTTCCACAAAGGCAACCTGTCAAAATGCCAGCTGCCTTTTTACACATGTTTTGAGAAAACCTTGCCCAGTTCATTAATATCCAAACATCTACAAAATGAACTTCTCCTAAATATTTAAAATGTTTCTTCATTGTGCAGGGAAACTTTAATTCAGGCCTCTGACTAATTTATTAATTCTTTGTACATATATTAATTGTGCTTTGGGCGATGCTGCAGGAGAATGGAAAGTAGATTTGACCTTTGGAAGAGAAGCCCTGGAGCCGGAGCTTTGTGTGGTCATTGTCAACACAGTGGTGATGCCCAGTGCTACTCTGGCCGGAGCCGCGTCCATGTTGATCCAGAAAGACACCCAGGAGAGGATGACTATCAGCAGCGACGGGATGTACATCTGGATCAGGTAGTAGCCCATCTGTCTTTCCAGGTGGAAGTTCACTTCTATACAGGTGAATTTGCCTACAAGCAAAAGCAAAATCTTATCAACTTATAGTTTTTGCACTCACTACGATTGTGAAACTGAAGTAAGATGTGTCTCTCACCGGTGTTGTAATGCTTTGTGCAGTATCCGAGCTCCTTCTCCTCTCTCATGATGAACTGAGGCAAAGTGAGGCCATCAGAGACCTGGACAGCTCCATTCTCAAGCCACTCGAAGACCAAGTCATTCATTGTGTAGCCAACTGGAAAGTTGAGAGATGGGGTCATTTCGATGGTTTAAACTAGTAATTGTAAACGTCATGGCAATTGTTTTGTCCCTTTTAGCAACTTATACATTTTAACTGAAAATAATGTCATAAAAAGGTTATTATCATTATCTATTGTCCTCGGTTTTATTGGTTGAACTAGACTTATGTCTGAAAGTAATTTCTACAAACCAACACAACATCATGCATTTGTTTTATGACTATTACAATATTTAATCTTTTTAGGAAATAAAGAAGATGATCAACTTTGTGACCGTCTTTGCTCAGGAATTACAGTTAAGTTAGTTCTAAACTAAGACTAAAAGTTGACTGTTACCATAGAAAGATTTATCAGCTGCTTGTAAATAGTGGTGTCACACAAATGCAACTCATTAGTTTTCTGTTTTTTGATTCTCTGTATGGTAAATGGTTTCATGTTTATGTAGTGCCTTTCCACCTTCGAGGCATTAGATTAAGAATCCAATTACCCATTCCCATTCCCACAAACATTACATACATACACCTGTGCATATGCTGACACCGGAGGCCGATAAGTGTCTTGCCCAAGGACACAAAAACATCACACTACAATCACACCTGTCAACCGCTTTAACAATGAATCCAAGCTGCTGAGATTTTGGATCATGGAGTAAAGGTAAGATAAGAAAAGATTATAATTTCATTGTCAATGGAAATAAGAGCACTCGGATTACACACTTCAAACACGACCAATTATTTAGGATAATAGATAATAAATAAAATAGTAAAAAACTCTGGAGCTATAATTGCAAGGATAGCACACTATAGAGTACTTTAGCAGCGGAGAGTGACCGGTTCATTAAGAAAATCGTACTCACAACTCTCAAGCTGCATGGTGCACGTTTGGACATCCATGGGAAAGTTCTTGAGATCCATGGGGCAGGACAGGATCAGTGTCAGTCTGAAATATGAGGAGAAAATGTCACTCCACCCTGCCACATAAACACACTGGGCTTCTATAAAATTGTCTCATTACAGCTCAAACCTCTGAGATGTGGAGAACTTAAAAAAAAAAAAAAAATTTGCTTGAAAAATCAAATTACAGCCAGGGAATTTGTGTGTTCTCCCACATCTTGTAGCCTCTTACCTATCACGTTGGATTCCCTTCAGCAGGTTCCTATCACACTTTCATTACTGTAACTTATTGTCTCTGTGATCCATTGTGCTCGCTCGGCTCCTGGCTATAATATTTTTTTCACTGAATGGAGAAAGTGGCTAACCACCTTTCATCTCGATACCGGTGTCACGCTCCTGCTGCCACACCTGAGCACTGATGCTGTTTGGCACTCTGCAAACAGAGACCAAATTGATCTGCCGTATATAGCTTTGTAGCCGTGAAAATTTAATTCCAGTATGGGTGAAAGCGCATTGAAATGACCTCGACCATATAGAGATACTTTTAATTTTTGTATTACAAGGCAGAAAATGATGGGTTATGACGATTGATAGCTCGTTTGTGGTAGTTAGACTAGTGGTTAGTTCCTGGGTTCGAATCCTGGTCGGAACAGCGCCTTTCTGTGAGTGTTGCATGTTCTCCCTGTGTCTTCATTGGTTTCCAGTTTATCCAACCACTAAAAACTTTTTTCATATGCGTTTAATGCATTTTCCATGTTTTTAATTGCTTGTGTGAATCACTTTGAATTGCCTAGTACACAAATTGTTCAAAACAAATACATGAGGATTTTTTCTAATTGATTGATATAAACATGTACAATGGCTCCCCACTCTCTAGGGCCAGGACTCCCCATCCTAGTCGAACTTTCATGGTACGATGAAAATATATGTTTTTGGTTCTGAAAGTTGCAATAGCTGAAGAATTTCACTATATAGTTTTTCAGTATAGCAACCATGTAACCTTGTATTGTTTAGGACCACTTCTATCAAAGTTGGTTCCTAAAGGGAGGTATCATAAAGAGTGCATCATTAATTTAAGTTCAGGAAACCCTTGCATATGTTCTTAATGATGAGGCACTAGCTGCAAGCAACACTGTGAATTAATTTGTTTGCAAATGGATAACTGGCTCCCAGAACAAGGCTTTGTAATTTCAATTGATGTGATATTAATTAGTTTTTTTTTCTTTACAAGTTTGGTATCTCAGGTGAAGGGTTACAGTATACCACTTTTCATCTTTTACTTTGATTTATAACAAAGCTCCTGGGATTATCTTGCTCGCTTGTAATCAGCCTATTTTCACATTATGCTAGGCGCATGGTGCAGCACTTTACCGCTGATCGAAATCTGATCATTCCTTTTAGATTGACACTCTCTGATGTGCACGAGAAAAAATGTAAAAGCGCAGTAAAAGTACATGTCCTGGGGAAATCTCTACACGGACGTCGCAGTGCCCTCATTTTTTCCCATCTCAACCTCAGTATTTTGTGAATTCTCATTAAATCTTTTCTTCAGCTATTTGAAAAAAATCTAAATATTATTTTAAACTAAATATTATTATAACCTCATTTTTGACCTAAACATGAATACCAACATACGAATATAGATACATAACAATTTACAGAGCAATAAAGATCAGAAAAGATTATTACATACACACACAAAAATAGATAATAATAATGATAATTGAAAAAAAAAGAACAAAAAAATCTCCTTTGCACCCACTCCGTCCCTCTGCTAAAATAAGTCATTTAGGAAGAGAAAAAAAAGACATTCCTTTCCTTCCATGTTTATTATGATTTGTGTTTAGGTCAATTGTCTCAGTACTAAGCACTTTTACACCTACACACTGCATACAAACACCACACTCACACTTTTCACTTTGAACTTTTGTATTGTATGTTTTGTCTCAGCCTTATAAAGGGAAAACCATATATAAACAATACAAAAATCTTATCTTCACCTGATGCTGTAGAGGACCGTGCCATCCTTAAAGATCCGGAGCAGCTTGTTGTCCGTGGTGACGTCATGGAAGTTGGCCCCCTTCTCGTTGGCGAAGAAGAGATCAGGTTTCCATATGGAGTCCAACATGGAGGGGTCTAAGTCTAAAGAAGAGTCTGGATATTTGCTGTACGCCAGCCGAGGGTCGTTCCACTTTTGCCGCAGAAAGATGTTGACCCGGTAATCCTGAAGAGATGACAACCACACGTGAATATTTCCCGAGAGCAGTGGTCCAGTGGATGAGAGATGGCATGCCTCAGACAGGATGGGTGCGTTTCCTAATGTAAAGCATTCACTTAAACTGGGAGACACGGTTGCAGCAAGACACAAATACACGATGGGTGCAGAAAAAATATATGACGAACTTGGTAGTCATAATTTGGCACAGAAACAGCGAGCTATTCCTGACTTGATTCTGGAAAAAACCTGGTATTTTTAGTGTAAGATTTTTCACAGAAGTTGATGCCTGAGTAAGCTTGCTTTGAGTATTTGTACAGGTGAAACTTTGTTAAAAGAAACCCACCTATTTCTGTAACTCAACCTAAAATGTGAAACCAATATATTATACAGAAGCCCATTTTGAAACTATTCTAATTTTCGGAGATGTTTTATTCAGGGTTTTTAACAAGCTGTGAGCCAATTTCAACATTATTACAAAAAGGCTTGATGTATCGCAGTATCACATTATTAATTTTTATTTCATTATATATTTATTCCATATTGTAAGTTGAATTACAGAAGTGAATGGACTTTTGAACAATATTCTAATTACCAGTTTTTCATCTGTAAACATGACAAACTTGAACGTCATATATTGCACTGATACAGCCTGCTAATTCTGATTTGAAATTGAGAACACATTTTTTTTTTCTAAATTTTCACTGCAGCTGAATCTTGCAAAAGCTTGGTTTGAATATATGCACTATGTAGAGATGTGAAAAATAACCTTGTTTGGTAATGAGAAAAAGGTTAAACTTATTTGTAAATCTAAATACATAGATGATAGATTGGGCGAACCCTCTCTGTTTTCATCTGGAGAAGGGTTTACTTAAAAGCATCATGTCCTCTACTCCTCTCTAAATATTTAATCAAAGGAAAGCCGCGGTTGAGAATTGGTTGAATTTGCTTCTGTTGGGATCAGTCAATACTTTTCATCTTGGTTACTCCATTTCAAGCACTGACAAGAATGCTTAGTGCAAATATTTCTCATCCAACATCTGCGTTAACATTCAAACAATATTGTAAAAAGCTGTTATCAAAGTGAAAATAAACCATTTAGTGATCATAAAATGTAAGAACCTCAACACAGACATGTAGATACATAGATTGGATGCAAAGGAGGTTTTTTGACCACCAAAACTTACTGGCTCATCATTATTGACTATGATGAGGAGAATGACATATCAACAGCATATTGGCAGTTCCAAATCACTCTGTGGCCATGTCTAAAAGTGCGTGATTTACTTTCAATCTCCGGTTCCTCCAATCATGAGGCCAATAAACACCCCCCATTTATTAAGTCTTATTATCTCTCATTAGAAAGCCTTTGATGGGATTAGTTTCAATAGACACACAGGTTTTATTTTTGTGCGCTTGTGGCAATTTGCACGTCACTTAATCTGCCACGCGCAATTAATTAACTTTTTCTGATGCGTAGAGCGGGTGAGTAATCTGGCACAAGATGTACTCCGCAAAAGTATTTAATCGTACGTAGTCCACTGACGATGCACTAATCTCTAACAATTCAACGTTTAACAGAATCATCAATATAAATGTAACCGGATCTAATGGTTCATGTGTTCTTACAACTATGCTCCTGACCATGTAACCTAATAATGACTGTTGTTGTTATACTAATACAGAATAGAGGCGTTATATCAAGCTAAATACAAATATATCCTTATTCTTATATATCCTCTTCAAACCTACATTTAATATAAATAACATAATATTCTGCCAACGTAGTTCTGACCATGATCTGGAGATCCCATAACCCGGACTATTTTCTCAGCAACAAGGATAGGTTGCATTTTTTTGTCAGATTTTTTTGGTGCCACCAATAAGCTTTCACATAACTGGGAAAATAAAAATGGATAAGATGTCAACATGATTCAGCCTTAAGTCCACAGCAGAGCACCCAACTCACCATAGTTGTTTCTGCTATAGAACCAAAGCTGTTGATAAATATGTTGCAGGTGACATTAACTGGTGGACCTGCAGTTTGTAACACAATGGACAAGATAAAAAGAATTAGCCATAGTCCCAGCACTCACCATGGTGGTCTCAGTGACCGAGCCGAAACTGTTGATAAAAATATTGCATGTAACGTTTACAGGAGGACCTGTGGAGTGGACACGACAGTGACATGAACAGAGAGTCGCAAAGAGAAGCTTAGTGTTCACTGTATAACAGAGTTGATGCTACCTGCATGTGATTTATACGACCTGTATTGATTATTCTTGGTACTGTGCGTAATTAAGAGAAGGTTTTACGTAGTACATTACAGTGTGTGCACAAGTGTAAAGAAATATTTTCAACTTTCAGAGTCACCCTTATCATAATACCCAGTTACAAAGTTATGCAATCAAGTGTCATAGTGGAGCTGTGAATGAAAATAGTAACACAATGCACAAAACAAACACAGTATATTACTATGCATGCCTTCATATCTCTTTTTTACTTTTGTAACTTTTTAACATCTTGAACCAAAGCAATTGAACCAAAGCAAGGCAGTTAAAATAATTCTGGTTCTGATTATAATATCTGTCACATGCAGACTGAGGTGTGGTTAAGGATGCTAATTAAAAGCATTGGGTGGTGGTTAATGGTCTTAAGTTTTAGTCCCCAACACTTACTATGATATTTTGACACAGTCTTACTTGGAGTTATATGTAGTATTAATGTTATCCAATATGCTTGAGTGCTAACACGAGAACATACATGTTCCAATGTATTCTTAAGTGCTATTTCTATCTTACCTCAGCCTCAAAACATGCCTTATGTCATTTCTTGTCAAAGCTATTCTTCACCCTCTTGTTTGAGGACTACCGCTGCGGACCTTTCCACTGCCTTTTCTCATCAAAATTGCATGAAGCTCAGTATTAATATTTGCCTCTATTTGTTGGCAGGTAGCTACACATAAGAGCTGAGGCAGAGGAACAAAAAGGGGAGAAGGAACTCTGAACAAAGTCAGCGCAAGGAATCTAGGTCACCCTTCGGAAGTACGTAGCAGCTTCCAGGTATGACTGTCATCTGTTTGCATCTCCAACAGAACATTTTTTTCTCTCACTCTGTTGGGTGCCACATTAGTACAGCGTGAGGAGTGCTTCATCTGCTTAAAAACTTTCAAATGTGGCCCAAAAAACTTCCTGCCAACAAGTTTTTTCACAGAGTTTTGAGAACTAATGCAGAAATTCTGTTCCAACCACAGCACAATCTAAGTTATGCAATGGATCCCATCATTTTATTGAACAATTATGCCTATGTCTATTCCAACACAACACAAGCCAAGCCTTTTTCCAGTATTGTACATTACAAACCCTGTCCAGAATGTCGTCATTGTGTGGACCTTCTACTCCAAGACTCCTAACTCCATTCCCACAGATGCTGCATGTGTTCACTGGCTTCACAACATGACAACAAGAGAGGAAGTCAGTCGCCTGCAGCCTTGCCATAGGGGCAACATTTGTCATGTAGTCTGCCATAGTGGCACCCTGTTGCAAGTGCCACCCAGCCATCAGCTTATTTTAAGTTATGTTACATGTGTTTGGGTCAGGGGGACTGTATGAGGGAATAAACATGTACAGTATAATTGCAATCACGTCATTGTCCAGAGGTGATGGATTGTTATCAATAAAGTGGCAGCACCGTATCCAAGCAATAGCCACCACAAGCCCTGATATGAAGCTGTTTTTGCAGTCAAATAAGAGAAAAGAAAATCAAAGCAAAACATGCATCTTCAGTCTGTTTGTTCATTTTTGTCAGGCTTATTGATTTTATACATTTTGGTAAAAGTGAATGAGTGACCAACCTTTAAAATTGGGTCTGATTCGTGCGTCGTAGCCGGATGTACGGCCCATGAGCGAGTCTAGAAAGTCTGATGGAGACAGGTTTGACGAGGACCTGGCGTCGTGCTCCTTTGCTTCCACAACTCTGAAATACATAAAGGTGATGAACGCTGTGTAACGCGCAGCAGTGGAAAAGGTTTTTTTTTTTTTTTGGGCACTTTCTGGACGAATCAATTCAACTACAAAAACAACCTGCAAATGTGCCTTCAAAGTGATATACGCAGAAAAAACGGAGAAGTATCAGAAAAGTGCGTGCGTAAAGCGCGCTGGAAAGTAGACGCCCAGCAAAAAGATTCACGCATGTTTGGGCAGCCAAGTGTAAGTTTTAGAGAGAGGGAGAATAACATGCATTCTGAAAATGAACAACTAAGTGTGACCTTTAAAAAATAGATTAGCTGATTTACCTGAAGTTGCTCGGCTCCATGAGATAAGTAAATAAAGCAAAAACCTTGATGAAAGGGCGATTCATTCCTGGTGCTTTTCGCGTGCGCTCGCTGCCTTATTTCTTCCGTATGTTGACATTGGTCAAACACATAATCCAGGTTTGCGCTTGTCTCTGGAATCGCGCTTGTTTTTTGGCTGTTTTTTTGTCAAACGCGAGAGGCATTCCTCAGAGAAGCCTCGGATCATAGTTTTGTTTTGCAGAAGTCTCACAGTCGAACTGCGTAAAAACTCTTCATGGCGATTGTGGCCGCTCCAATTTGCAGTCAAAGCCGAAAATTCCGTTGGTGAAGATCCGTGTGTGACTTGAGTGAGCAGAGGAAAGGCTCTGTTGAGGAATGGGGAGTGGAACGCCTTTTTCTCATTTCAGCACTTAGACAGCTCCCGGTTTTCTGACGCGCAAGCGCATCAAAGTGACATACGTGAGTTGGTTCTCAATAAATCCAATAATTGAGATAATTAACAGAAATCAACTACTTTAAGCATTTTCTACGTATGTTACAAAAAAATAATGAATAAAACGGGTCACCAACCATTTTACAGGTAAGTTAAAGCGCTGCGTAAAGTGGCGCACGTGTTGTGATTGAATGCATGCCATACATTCGACTCACTAATGGAACTTTATCTTTGAATGTGTCAAGTGTCCATCAAAGCCTCCAGCCTCCACTTAAACAGGCCCCTTCCCCATGTTTGACACGTCTCCACATTGTAAGCGTGCGCACGAGCCAAAGGGACAAAATGAGGGAAGCTGATGTCTTGGCCACATTCGTGTTTGTTTGCAGCCCACATGCCCCACAATGATATGAAAAGTGTAAACAAAGGACGCACCAGCGAGAAGCCTCTGGGAGAGTATTTGGAACCCGGGTTGCCCTGGAAACCGTATTTCTGAGGCACATGGTTGAAAATGCTGAAAGGTTGGCCTCCCAGAGCGAGACGGAGCAGAGCTGAGTGACAGAGAGTCTCAGACGGCTGCAAATATCGCCCACTGTAGCCATCCTGCACATGCACTGTTTGTTTGTACACGATGGATCTATCTGGCAGTGTGCAGCACGGGCCTCAGAGAGTGGGATGCGTGGCTTTGAGGACCACATGCGTGAGTGAGTCATTCTCTGTAACCACACTGGTTAAACCCAGTGGAAAAATACAGTGACGACCAAAAGACTTCTTTTAAAGTGTTAAAAATGTATTGTGGGGTGATGTGGTTTTTGAGAGTGTAGGTCTGGGTTTTTCAGTGATCTTGCCTCTGATGTAAATGGGTTTAAAGCTGGGGTAAAGTGGAACGACTGTATCTATGTGAAATCCATCCAACAATAGTTCCTTGCTTTTAAAACTGTCACTATAGCATATGTTTAGGCATGTTGGAATGTTTGGATCAGCTTTATCAGAAAGAAAAATATCTTCGTCTGTGTTCACAGTTGGTGCTGAGGTCTAGGTAGTTAACATACAAGAGCCCATAGTTATATTAAGATTTTTGGCAATTGCAATCCAAATGAATATTCAATGTGAGGCTATTTCTATGTTTGATGAAAGCGCCTTTTTGATTTAAATAATTGGATTCAGAACTTTACGAGTGGTTGTTTATGTTAGCATTTGGTAATCTCCAAACGTTTTTGCAATGAAGGATGAATCAACACTGCAAATATTATCAGCAAAAGTTCAATTTGTTATAAGCTTGTTTAATATCAAAGCCAATCGGCTCTCTGTCCAAAGCATCAGACAGTCATAAGAAATAATAGAAGTAAGAAGGCTGAGTGAGAGGGCGCCTTCTCACAAATGTGCAAAAGTGTTTTCCAGTAAGATAAAGACAGAAATTTGTGGTCTAATTTTTTCACAACATTTTACTTTTACAAGACTTTCTATTGAGACAAAAACCATGTGTTATAGATGTAGCCAAAATGTTAGGCACCTCACCTGTAAGCTACGTATGTATCACATTCCACAACAAAACAGCCCATGTGTATCTATCCCCAAAGTAGAGTTTAAAGCCCTAAATTATTCTCATGTCTTCACTTGGGAATAACAGTAAATATAAATAGTTTGCATCACAATTTTGGAATGGTTCTAATTGTATCATGTATCTCTTGAATATTTTCTTTCCTTGAGCAAAACTGTGAGATATAACAACATGTGATGGTACGAGCTGGATGTGAGCTTTTGTGGACCACAGGCGTGCGTGACTCACCGTGTACACAAACCTGTAGGAAAGGTAAAGCATTAAAAAAAAAACTTCATAGACATTAAAGCAAGCGACACACAGTTGTGGGAAATGCACTTTTATCCAAGGCCTTAGTGCTGTGACCGGCTCGGGGACATGTTACACTTAAGCCTGACACCGACCGCTTTCCAAATCAGGTGGGTCGAGCCAGAGCCTGCGGAGGGACAGTCAGAGGCCTCCTGCGATGACTTACAAGTGTCACCTCGGATGTTTTGATTTGACCTGGACTAATATGGCACGTATGAATCAGACGCTTAACCTTATGTAGGACAAACCTGTGCGAGACAAGAGTGACTATTTACACGCAAAAGTTTTCTATGGTCAGTCCTGATCAAATAGTGGTGATATACAGCATTGTTAAAAAATGACAGACACGGGATCGTAAAGGTAGATAGAGGATTTTCACGAATTTTAGGAAAGAACTGCCCTCTTCAGTGGGATTGCCTACTAAAGTGTGTGTAAGAGACATGCAAAACCCACACGTCACAAATAACCAGGATGAATGACAATTAGGAGGACCATTAGTTTATATTGGGCATGTCCAAACTCAGGCCCGGGGCCAATTGCGGCCCTTATTGTCATTTTATGAGGCCCTCTGCCTTGCTAACCGAAAGTAGTCTTTAAGATCATAAACACAAGTTCACTTTGTTCCAGTATGTTGTTAACTTTATTTTCACTACTGACATGTTTTTGGTTGTGTCACTTCTGGTACATAATGGTGCTAATGTAACTGGTGATACAGTGAGATTCAGCCAACTTCAGCTCTGTTATAGATCATTTTAAAGCTCAGAACAGCCCGATGCCAGTCAAGACGTCTGTGATGTCGGCCCCTGGACTAGTCTGGTGAACTAAAGTGGCCTTCTTACTAAAAAGTTTGGACACCCCTGGTTTAGATGATCAACCCAGAAGGAGAAAATCCTCCTATACCTGCATGTGGACCTTTCAGTTTCTAGCTGTTTCAGTTTTTCTTTCAGATAGAATGAAGACAGGGCAAGCAAGTTATATGAAAATATGCGTCATAGCAAAAGACGCCAACCCAAAGGTGTTAGTGCAAACAACAGAGACATGGCTGAAGTCGCTGTGTCTCCCGTTTGTCCATTTTGTGGGCCAGATTCAACCATATTTTGGTCCGTTTTGTAAGCCATGTGAACCGGTTAGTCTAGGTTTATCCCAAGGCGTTGATCTGTCCTTGCAGAGGTACAGTAAATAATCAGACTGGAATTTCACGTGACAATTAGTATTTGTATTTGATATAGGGTTTATCTCATTTGTGTCTCTTTCTGCCGGTGATTGAGCGTTGTGTGTGACAATGCCTTTCTCATTGCTATTCTTCAATACTGGCATATTTATTTAAGTCAAAGGCATCACTTTACAGCTTGCAATTTATATTTTGACAGATCTGCTATTTCTTCTGGCTCAGGATTGAACATGTGTCATCTGAAACATTAAACAAGATGCGCATCCTGGCACCATGAATACTGGATGTGTCTTTTTAATTATTTACACATAAGCACCATTTACCAGATATTTATGTCAAATGGATTGAAAAACAACAGCTGAAATAGTTTTTGAATTAAAGGGAAACTTTTGAATGTCAGGAGAAAAACATAACATCGTCTGGCTTTTTATAATGAATACATTTTTTTTTCCGAATGGCCAATATAGAGCTAGACTTGACATGCAACCGGTGCTGCAATTGGCCATTAGTCCAGGGCCCTCTGCCTAGGTGGGCCAGAATTAAAGCAGAAGTCATGTCTATGTGCCTTTTAACTGGAGGAAAAGGATGTAGCCTTCCATGTGCAGAAATGTGAAGAAATGTCTGTCACTATAAATTAGAGAGTCGTTGACGATGGAAAACACTGGGACAGTTGCATGCTACTGGAACTGTCTCCTTCTGCTTTAGACATAGAGCCAAAATCGTGAGGTTGCTTCTAGGTCAATAATATATTACAGTACCTATCAAAAGTACAGGTAAAATTTGTATTGTCGCAGTCTACATTATGTAAAATAACCATAAATGTGCCACAAACCTATGAAATAGATATAGATATACAGTAGATCGAAAATGCCTAAAACATGTAATTTTTAATAAGCCTTCTGGTCCAAGTCTTGCATCAGCTAAGAGAGTATAGTCTAAACTCAGCAGCTGGTTGTTATATTGTCCATCAGATGATCAACCAGTGAGCTTATTTATTTTATTGATGCATTCATGTATTTATTTGAGCGTATTCAGCATGAAGGGTATGTTTAAAGAGAAAACAAAAACACAAGGCAAAGCTCAAAAGTAAAAAGCTTATAGCGCTGAGCCCCTTAGGTTGGTATGATTTCAGGAATATTGACCAAAGACATAGTTGGGATTTGAAATGATTTTTCTTTCTGCCGAGGCTGTTACCACTTCAATTAAATAAATCAGCAGAGGACAAAACTATTGAGTATATGAGCTTCACAAAAAGGATTCAGAAACCCGTTCAGTCTCAGTGTGGGTATTTTGTTGTCAGAATAAGCCAATAGCAAGAATTTTGACAAAAGAGTTCAATAAAGCAGCACTTCTCCAGCTGTGGTCCCACTACACAGGCTTGAAGTCAAACTCAGGGAAATCAAAAGATTCACAAGGGATGCCGTTTGGATGGCATAACCTCAAACAGTTTTTTTATGTGATTTAATTCATTTAACAAAACCGTTTGTGAAGAATTATGAAGAATTATTTTATATGAACACAAAACATGAAAATATAAAACCAAACATTAAATCAAGTTGAACGGTGACCC